CAAAAGAATAATAAACCCTAAGCCCCTAAACCTTAAGCCAAAGCCCTAAGCCCTAAAGTCCTAATCCCTAAGCCCTAAGACTTAAACCCTATTTGAATTCTAAATTCTATTATAGTATCTTCTACGTGCTACAAACACTTAATTTTCTTCCATACTTTAACTTTTTGCTCCTTCTCTAAGTAGTTGAATTTTGTTGCCAACATTTAACAACTTTAATAAAAAGATAACAAAAATAAATAAATAAAATAAAATTTATAAATTCAAGAGCAAACAAAACACATATAAGTAAAGAAATGCTATGCAAATATTAGTTAAATAAATCACGAAAACAACAACGAAAAATGAAAAGAAAATTGTGGATAAATGAGAGTGTTGGGCAAGGAAATAATACAAAAATGATCCTAACAAGTAAAAAACACAAAAGGAAATAAAAATAATTATTTGTAAAATACATCTTACGTGTAAAACAAAGTCAAAGGAACTGAAACAAAAAGATATACTTATCTTTTCACACCTAAATTCGTTTTGCAAACTCATCTCTACCTCAATCAACTCTTCCTATTCCTTCATAAGCTGACATTAATTCCATAAACAACTGAAATGAAAGCACATAAGATTAGTCATGTACAGAGAAAATGAAAATCTTAAGAACAACAAAGAACAATAACCGAAAAAAAAATAGGAGAAGAAGAAAGAGCAAAAGAAGTAAAAAAAAATAATAAACCCTAAACGCTATGCCTTAAACCTTAAGCCTAAGCCCTAAGCCCTAAAGCTCTATGTCCTATTTGAATTCTAAATTCTATTATAGTATCTTCTACGTGCTACAAACTCTTAATTTTTTTCCATAGCTTAACCTTTTACACCCTCTCCAAGTTGTTAAATTTTGTGGCCAACATTTAACAAATTTAATAGAAAGATAACAAAAAAAGAAATAAAACATAATTTATCCAATTCAAGGGCAAACAAAACACATATAAGTAAAGAAATATTATGTAATTATTAGTAGTATAGATCACGAAAACAACAACGAAAAATGAAAAGGTAATTGTGGGTTAATGAGAGTATTGGGGAAAGAAATAATTCAAAAGTGATCATAACAAGTAAAAAACACAAAAAGAAATAAAAATAGTTGTTTGTAAAACACATCTTTCATGTAAAACAAAGTCAAAGGAACTGGGACAAAAAGATATACTTATCTTTTCACTCCTAAATTCGCTTTGCAAACTCATCTCTACCTCGATCAACTCTTCCTATTCGTTCATAAGCCAACATCAATTCCACAAACAACTGAAATGAAAGCACATAACATTAGTCATGTACAGAGAAAATGAAAATCTTAAGGACAACAAAAAACAATAACCGAAAAAAAAAAAAAAAACCCCTAAGCCCCTAAACCTTAAGCCAAAGCCCTAAAGCCCAAGCCCTAAGCCCTATGCCCTATTTAAATTCTAAATTCTATTATAATATCTTCTACGTGCTACAAACTCTTAATTTTTTTCCATACTCCAAGTAGTTAAATTTTGTTGCCAACATTTAACAAATTTAATAGATAGAGAACAAAAAAAAACAACATAATTTATCCAATTCAAGAACAAACAAAACACATTTAAGTAAAGAAATGTTATGCAATTATTAGTTGTGTAAATCACAAATACAACAATAAAATATGAAAAGAAAATTGTGGGTTAATGAGAGTGATGGGGATGAAAAAAAATACAAGAAAGCCTAAGGAACTGGGACAAATAAATATAATTATCTTTTCACTCTTAAACTCGTTTTGCAAACTCATCTCTATCTCGTTCAACTCCCCTTATTCTTTCATTAGTCAGCATCCATTCCACAAAAAATTGAAATGAAAGAACATCAGATTAGTCATGTACAGAGAAAATGAAAGTCATAAGGGCAACAAAGAACAAAAAGGGAAAACAAAATAGGAGAAGAAAGACGAGGAAGAGGAGCAAAAGAAGCAAAAGAACAATCAACCCTAAACACCGAGTTTATATATAGTGTATCGATCGATACCGCGATGCCAAGTCAAAAAAATATGTCTCAGAGTCCCCCGAGTCAAGAGCCGATACTGCGACCTTGAACCATGATACAAAGCTAACAAATGATTCCTCCCAAAAGAGCACCATAATGTTCTTTTAACATCAATCATTTTTACACACAAATCAAACAACAATTTATTGTTAGTTTTGTTAAAGTTTGAGTTATATTCATTGAAGCAAAACAACAAATATTTTGCATACGTGCTCATCAACACTAAGAGTCCATGGTAAAAGAAATATCATAGGTCTAACCACATAGCGAGAACAATAACTCAAAATTCTTGAATTACCAAATAGATTCACGTGATGCCAAGTAACAAACATTCAAACTAAGATTTTGAATTATCAAGTAGAAATAACGATTCGAACTAAGATTTTGAATTATCAAGTAACAAAATGCAAATTATCATCACAATTTACAACGCAGGACAATAAATTTCAATAAAAATAAAATTCATGATAAAAAATAATTCGTTTTCTTCCATTATTATAATCTACCTAAAATAATGAATGTTCACACAATTACATCTATAAACAGAACTAACCAAACCCCATAAACAATAACAGAAAGTAAGTCTTTTTTATACATAAACCATTACAATAGCATGTAATGGTTGTTGAGAATTTGCAATAAAAACAAACTCATACCCCTAGCAATTATAACCACAGTGAGAATACGATTTGGAATGATACAAGTGAGATATATGTTCTAGCAGACTAAGAAAACAAAGTACCAATAAAAAATCAACAGCAGCATAAACCCCATAAACATAAAAAGCAAAAAAAAAAAAGAAAAAAGAAGGAAATAAACTCACAAAAAAGAACAAATATATAGGGCGTTGAATTGAGACCAATAGATGAAATTGGAAAAAATGTGATGGTCCAAACCAATTACCTTCCAGTTACAGCAGTATCACTCGAAAGGACACATAAACTGTATTCACCCAAAAAATCCTATCAAACCCATCATTCGAACCTTTGATGTTTGGAGCTCTTTGGGAGTTGTTGTGGTTCATTGAACCCTGAAACACTGTGTCGAACCGAATTCACAACATTCACATCAAACCACTGTGTCAAACCGAATTCCCAAAATTCACATCAAACCAAAACTAATGGCTAATGGAGACCCACTTCGGTGTGGGGGTGTGTGTTGGTGGTGGGTGGGTGTGTGGCAGTGTGAGTGATCAGTGTTTGTGGTTGATTTCGTGAAGTGGCCGTTAGGGTGTGGCTGGACAGAGAGGGAGAGAATTGGGGAGATTACGGTGTGGCTGTGAATGGCTTCCGCCAGCAAAAGAGAGGGAGGAAACATGGGAGAGAGAGAGAGAGAGGAGGGAAGCGACCGTTAGAGTTAAGTAGATTTGGGAATTCATTTTGGGGAATATATTGGAGGCGAATTTGGATTCAGAGAGGGTGGGAATCTGGTTGTGATGGAGGCTACCCAATTTTTCCAACTTAAAATCCAAAAAAATAGAAGGCGGTGCTACACGTTCTGTTTTTTTTTTTTAAGTAAGATTAATAATAGAGAGAATTACGTTTAGATTTCACTTCACTTAATTACTTGGCTCACTAATATTTAAAATATTATACGCATATCTTATAAAGTTTGTATATATAAACCCTGAACCACAATTCTTATATCCGTTAGTAAATTATACCTAGACTCCCTAAATTTTGTAAATACGTAACACTTAGATCTTCAAGTTTAAAATATTATACTTAAACTCCTTATTAGTAACAAAACTAATTAATAAAAACTATTAAACGGTCAAATTACTCCAATTAAAGATAGAAGATATCTTGTCCATTACGGTTTGACTTCTTGTTTGATTGTTTAGTTTTATTCTAATAGACAGTATAATTGTATACTAATTATAATTTTTTAAGGAAAAAATTAGATTTTTATTTTAACAAATAACATAATAGAACATGAATTTTGATTAAATGTTTTAAAATATTTGATATTGTATCTTTGATTAGACTATTTTTAGTTTAAGTATAATATTTTAAATTTGAGGAGTTTAAATATTATACATCTAAAAATTTTAGAAAATTTAAGTATAATTTATTAACAGATAGACTAACGGCAAGGGTTTAACTGTTACACGCGTACAAACTTTAAATATCAAGAGATCTAAATAATTAAGAGACAAACATTAAGAATTCTAGATGTAATTCTCTCAAAGAAAAATGAAGATGTTAAATTTGTATAGTGCTGTTGTTGCACATGAACTTGGTATGTTTGACCTTGACCCAGACCTGAGTCATCAACAGTTTGGCTGCCCAATCCAATCCGAGAATGGATTTGCTTCCTTCCGACCAGTGTTAGTTGAAATATCACCATTACATTGAATTAAACATTTGATAGTTAAATTTAGCTTTGGAGTACTCTGGCTCACGTTCAAATTAAACATTTTTTTTTTGCTCTCAAAAGGATTGTTTATGCTGAGTGCTAGTGCTAGGAAAAGGAAAAGNGAATTAAACATTTGATAGTTAAATTTAGCTTTGGAGTACTCTGGCTCACGTTCAAATTAAACATTTGTTTTTTGCTCTCAAAAGGATTGTTTATGCTGAGTGCTAGTGCTAGGAAAAGGAAAAGGAAAGGGAAAGGGAAAGGAAATCAAACCATGATCTTCAATTTCACTCTTTAGTAGTTTATTTAACATTCCAATTCCAAAAAAAAGTTTAATTAACATTCAAAAACCACCCCATGTATATTTTCATTTAAAAGGCTACTTTAGGTTATAAGAATCACAGTAGGTTTGCAATTAACCACATAAGGGAAGGACTTTAAGTCATAAGAATCACAACCTAAACCATTTTTATGTTAGCACAAAGAACAAAATTCATAGTTTCATCAAAAAGGCTCCCATATTATCCTAANAAAGGGAAGGACTTTAAGTCATAAGAATCACGACCTAAACCATTTTTACGTTAGCACAAAGAACAAAATTCATAGTTTCATCAAAAAGGCTCCCATATTATCCTAAAACACATATCAGGGAAGTGCTGTGGTACATTCCATAATCGAGAGTCCAACATCTCAACCTAATTCCCGTTCCAAAATGGCATATATATACATAAACATCAACAGACCAAAGTCAGCTACCCTGTGTAAGCCTAATCACAAATAAAGGCATTAATCATGGTTCTTACTTATACACAAAAAAACCAAAATAACAAAATTACCTTCCTCTTAACAGCTTCAAACTCTAAAAGCACATCCATGTGCCAGTGAAGACAATAAACACACCTACAACTAGAAGTACACAAGGCATATGCACGGATGGTAAAATTGAACGCAATGCCACAACCTTCGAGGACACCGAGAGGACCTTTTTGGGGCAACCTATAGCAAAATCTTCTTTTGAATCCACAGTCGTACTCAAATCCTGAGCAAGTTCTGCACCATCTTTGTTCGATTCAGGAGTGAATATATCTTGCGTCTCATCTGTTGTAGTATGCTTCTTGGTAGCTTTTTCATCCTGCACATGCCAATTTCATGGATGTCAGAACCAAAGAATAAGCAGTATGAAAGTCACCAAGCTTCACCAGGAAAAACTCTCACCTCAGCCCCTGGTGGTTTTGTTTCATGATTTTCTTCACTAGAGCACATAGCTCTAGGCAGACTACATTGAACGGGTCCAACTTGAGGTTCCACCTGCAAACGAATTCGTCTCATAGCAGTTCCCTGAGTTTCAAAGTTTTGGGCACATAATTGATTTTGGGGCTGCCGAGTCCTCCTTTTAATGCCCGTTCCAAAAGTATCATCACTGCCGACTGCATTGCTCTGATTGCTTGGTTCTTCAATGTTGAACAAACTGTAGACAGGATCGCCAGCAGAAACTACAGAGAAAGCATCCTGCACAGAGTTGTAATTGCTTTGCAGAATACCAAAGTTTCCCCTGTGATTATTGCTGCATATATCAGGAGTTGTGTCCATCTGTAAAAGAACCCCACGATCAACAGTGTTAATCCTCTTAGGACAGCATTTCTAAAAATATGCTGGAATCAATAGAAATTCAAGCTGCACATTGACACACATCAAGTGTGGCAGTAACCTTGCAAAAGAAAACTACAATATACTCAGAAGCTTACATTACCTGTCCTTGGACCACTTCGGCATCAGAGTCACTACATGATCCACTGTCCTTAATGGCAACACCCTCTATAGTATTAATGCATTTGGTTTCACTTTCAACAGCTGAAATCTTATTACTGCCAGAATCTTCAGAGGAATGCTCATCTGAGCCAACTAGGGCCATGTCCAAGAACTCAGTGATATCTAATGCATTTGTATCTGCTTGAAACTGCATCCAGTTACAGTTGTTACCGATGTCACTGTTAAGAGGACCAAATAAGCAGGAATATCCAAGCTCCACCTGCATCTGTGAGTGCAACGGAGAAAAGAGTGGCTCTGGCATAGGGTCATAAAAATCTCCCAAAATTTTTTCCAGCTCGGGGTCCGGCTAAAGTATGAAAGAGGAAAGAATTATAAGTACTTTATTGGGCTCCCAATTAACACAAAAACATAGTTTAATCTAATATAAACTAGAAGTTAGTTCAACTCCTCACCTGGAGGGATTGTATGTCTAACAAGTTATCTTCTGTATCATCAGCAACAAGGCTTCTCCTGTCCTGGTCAATAGGTAAAGGAGCATAAAGTGTTGGACTCTCAGTTTCAGCATGCCCACTTTCAGTACTCGGAGAATACAATCCATCTTGTCTACCCATCACTGGGGTAACTGGCTCTGAGTGAGTACCTTCGGCGGGAGATTTAACACCTGAAGGAGAAGAAATATTCTGCTCAACTTCATCTTCAACATTCTCATCATGCTTCTTAAACAGACGACAAAGAACAAAGGCACCCTGCAGGAGGAAAATAAAACACCAAAATCATTATCGAAAACTAATGCGCTACCAATAGTTACGGAGAGAACGGACATTTATTGATCATTTTAGTCTCCTCAGAAAGATGACCATGAAAGAAAGCAGAGTCTCCAAAGTCCAAGATCGACAAGGGAAACTATCATAAGCCAATATGGTTGATCGCATGGTACAGATGATTTTCAATGAAAATATATAAATTAGACCACACAACAGTATAGACTCCACAAGACAAACTAAATAGATAATTTTAGAAGCTTTCCTGCTGGGCCCTAAATTTAAGTCGCGCTTGTTGCAATTTAGTTTGGTAGCCTAGAAAGAAACCATTCAATCGCACCATTGATGCACTATTGTAAGTGTAGTACCACACATAGCTACAGTTATTGAAACAAATTAGAATTCTTTTTTTAGTCAGTAATCAATTGTAAGTGTAGTAGCACACATAGCTACAGGAGATACATTTGCTCAACAGGCTAGACCATTGGCTTTCCTTCTTGCCCGATTCGACCGGCCCTTATCTTCACCAAAATTCAAAGAATTTAAAGCTTTAGTAATATAGTTAAAGTAATAATATATTTATCATCACAATTTGTTTAAAAACCCATTAATACTAGCTTGATAGGTAGGCAATTAGACACCAATTAAGACGGACTCATTCTTAACCGGTGGATCATTACTTCTACAAACAAAATGATTGGCTAGTTGACTAATGCCCGGCCAGATTCCAACCCTATGGGACAAAGCTCCTTATCACAACTAGAAAGCTGTATCTTCTAGTAGTTTGAGATTGGAAACACAAAATTTATGCTGATATTATATTGTCACACAAGACTTCTTTGTAGATCATGGGATTAATCCCAATCTCTCACAATCTAGGACTTTGAGACCTGGCATAACTAGAAAAGGAAAAAAGAATGGTTCAAAGGGATAAAGGGAAGAAGGTGCTAGAAAATTTACAAAATCGAACCTTCTGTCCCCGGGAAAAAAAATTCCAAAATGATTATCAAACATTGAACGTCAATGCAATACCAATAGTCACAAAGAGAGCCAGGTTTGATTTTATTAATTTTTTCTCCTCAAAAGGATGACCATGAAAGAGAGCAGAGTCTCCTGAGTCCAACAGCTACATGGAAAACAACCATAAGCAAACAGGACGGTTCATGGGTTTCTTAGTACAGATGTATTTCAATGCAAATACATAAATTGGACCACTCAACAGTATAGATTCTATAAGAGAAGTATATAATTTTAGAAGGTTAATCATACTTGATTTGATAATTTTAGAGGGTTAATCATAATTGATTTGATAACTTTAGAGGGTTAATCATAATTGTCATTCGCCCCTAAATCTACAACACAAACTGCATCAAAATGTTAAAAATTGTCAATACTCTCACCAAAAATAAAAGGCATATAGAACAGTCCATAGACATCAACTGTATGAAAAGCTGCGGAAGCAACACTCTACGATTACATTTCTCATTTTGGATATAAAGTCACAAATAAATTTTCCAAACTTAAGAACACAAAATTACAAAGGTTTACTAACCACAAACCAAGATTAATTCTGGGATCAGCACCATTGGAAAATCATATACAACATTATACTTAAACCAAAAAAATTTTAAAATGGAGGGCTCAGAGGTTGATTTAACCTGTCCGGGGTGGGTGCCATCGAGTGCCTTATCGGTGGCACGGTATTCGTGCATTACCCAATTAGTCCTCTTCCCCTTGGGAGCACGCCCAGCGTAGAAGACGAGAGTCTTCTTCATGCCAATCTTCACTCCTTTACTTGTCTTGATAAACCTGTCTTTACCCGTTGCCTTCCAATACCCGGCCTCCGTTGCTCTGTTCAATCTCTGTCCGTTCTGATATTTCCGATCCTTGGGACAGAAGAAGAACCATTCATTGTCGACCGTCTCTACTATCGACATATCTGCGTTCAAAAAATGAGAAAAATATAATTCGACTTTAGTCTACGCCAAAGATTAGCCCATCGAATCACTAGCTGAGTACGAATCGTTATCCAACTCTTAATTCAACCTACATAAATCTACAATAAACATACCAAAATACAAGCAAAAATGCACATACATATAAAAATTATCGATTCATGACTAATTGGTGAATAATCATAGGGATCTTGCTGGAAATGTCAAGTATTTACCAGGTAAGTCCCAAGGCTCCCATTTACAAACATCAACCTCACGGATAACGCTCACTTCTTTCTCAAAACCGTTTATCTTCAGACTTAGGTAGTGAGCAATGAGTTCTTCGTCCGTCGGACGGAATCGGTAACCCACCGGCAAAGCGCTCAAAGGCAACACAGCCATCTATTCCCGCAGTCAAAACTTAGCGACAGAAAAAGGGGGGTAGGTATATATACGCGAGATCTAATTATATATTGAGCAACAGTGAAAATGAAGGTACGATATTATATCTCAAAAACCCTAGGAAATCGAAGGTAGATTCTGGGAAAATTCAGTGGGGTTTCGCAGACCGATTACTCGAACGTGGAAGCATCAGAGAAAGCGTGTGTGAGAGAGAGAGAATTTGGAGCTCGAGGCGCAGGAACAAGAAGAAAAGTGTTTCCTGACTTGAAAGAGAGAGAAAAAGAGAAGGGCCGGCCCGCGCTTTCAGAGATCAGTGGATAAAGGGCGTGGGGGTTTTTGCAATTTCCAGATTGCCATTGTATTCATCAAAACCCGATTATGCCCACGGCTTTCCTGGTGGGACCGGCTGTGATAACGTACACAATGTAGGGGTAGAGTGGGGAACGAGTGGAAGTGTCACCAGGAAGCTGAAGGAATTATAGCATACTGCCAATAAAAAGATGACACGTGTGGACATGTTGTCAGCTTTTTACTGGGGCCTACATTTATGCCGTGGTTGTTGCAATTTAAATTGGTAGACTAGAGACCATTGAATAGCTACTTTCAATAATTGAAACGAATTATAATTCTTTAATCGGGGTGACCCAAACTAATGGCTCATAAATAATCCATTTTATAGAGTAGTTCGAAATCTCGATGGCCAATCAGGTCATGGGTTGACCCGGTCCATCAGGATTTCGAACCATTTATGTCGACCGTGCCCGAATTAAATGGTTAGAAGACGAGTTTAATCAAGATCGTGTAGAAAACTAATAAATTCATAAATGACTCGTTTGAGTAAATTGGTAAAAATCTTCAAACTAAACACAATTCGTTTATTAAAAAAGTTACACAACACAATTCGTTTAAACCTTTTAATAAAACATCAGTTTAATTAAAATTGAATTAAGACAATACCCCTTTTACACAACAATCACCACCGTCATTGCCATCATCGCCACTACTATTCCACCATCACCCCTACCACATCACCACCATTGGCCCCCGACCACCATCACCATTATAACTTATAACTATCACCGCTACAATCGGTTATCATCATCCATTACAATTATCACTGTCTCCTACTATCTTCACTGTCGCCCACCATTACTATCATCGCTCGCGCGCCGTTATAACCAGTGCTTAAATTAATTTATTTTTCATATATCTTTGTAATTTAATTTTAAATATAAATACAAATATGTTTATTATTGACTATTTTTTTATTACTCTGTGCCTGAAACAACTAGTATTTAATACAATAATTAATAATTACATATGTTATTCTAACTAATTTTTTTTGAATAATTATTAATTTATTATTATATTAAATTTATTTAAACGTGTGGTAAAACAGGTTGACATACTTCATCTGAATACGATTTATTTATTAAATAAATTTAATGGTCCAGCCAATTTTTTCCCGAATTTGATAAGATTTCACATAAATTCACTTAATTTCGTATCGTTTAATCATGTCATGCAAATCTATGCTAACTCCTTTTTTTTGGCCACCTGGATTCCATATGTTATGAGATATGTCAGGTCGGCGGGTTGAGCTACGGACCATCCTTCAAAGCTCATTAAAACTGGTTTGATATTAGGTAAACAAATAAATAAATGCATATTAAGACGAGTTGATTTGTGAAAATCACAAGATTAATCTCAATAAGTAGATTTTTTATTTATTAATAATGAATGATTTAAAAAGAACGAAAGTAGAGAAAAAAAATATTGAAGAAAATTTAGATCCTTTAAGACGATAAATAAGTAGAGGTGTTAATAGAGACAAGTTATTTGAATTCGATTCGAATAAGACTCGGCTCGACCTTGTGTTCTAAACGAATTAAATTTAAATAATTTTTAAGGTTCGTTTTTAACTCGGCTCAAGCTTACAAAGTTTGGTTTGATTATATATAAAATAATCGAACTACTCGAACTCGCTCAAATTCTAAAAAAGTCGAGTTTAAATAAATTTTTAAACTCATTTAAGAAAACGAGATAAATAAACTCAGACTTAAACTCACAAAATTGGACTTGATTAACCCCTGTAAATAAGAGTAAATTTTAAAAACTGTGTTTGAAAGGGAGAAAGGGGGAGAAGGTGGTAGGAAATTTACAAAAATAGAACCTTCTTCAATGAATTCACGTTACTTAGGTGCCAGTGTTTATTGATGTTGACATTACAACAAATACTAAATGGTGGTGGGTAAGTTGGTGCGAAGTGGACATTTCAGAGGGCTTGTTGCTTAGCGAATAAGAAACAGAAGGCAGAATTCAACTGGTATCCGTCTGTATATTAATATTGGTACCTCTGGGTTTTGCTTATAATTGAGCTGAATTTTTGTGAGTTCGAATTTGTCGAACGAGTTTTAAAAATTATTTAATCTCGGTTCATTTAAAAAAAAGTCAAGTTCGAATCGAATCGAACCGAACTCGACTAATTTGATTATTTTACATATAAATTAACTAATCCGTTAAGCTTATTTTTTTTAAATGAGTCTAGCAAATCGTTCAAACTCGATTCATTTAAAAAATAAATTGAGCCGAGCCTGAGTAGCTAGACTCGATTATCAACCTACCTCTAACTTTTACTTATCATCATATAGTAATTATATCATGGCACAATAAATGTTATGTTTACCAAAAAAATTATCAAATTTTTGTATCAAATGATGTGGCACATTTCTCACTATTAGATAAGCAAGCTTCAATAATATTCAATAACAAAAATTATGTTACATCATTTGGAATGAAATATTTGATATACAAATTTGGTAAACGTAATTTTATTGTTAGTGGAATATCTATTGGCATGCTTGTACATTTTTCAAGTCATCTTGATAAAAATTATTTTTTTATATTCCATAGTTTTTGTAAAATGTTCAACCAGTTTGGTTCATGTTCCTTGTCAAAACTATTGACCTAGTTTCATTTGTTTATCTCGATCCTTTTTAAAATTCTTACATTTTGAAATATTAAAATGGTTTCAAAACAAAGTTTTCTTAAAGAATTATAGTTCTACAATAGCCAATACCACCTTCAAGACTCAAATTTGTCCTCTTTTTATCATAGTCATGGTATACGGTGTCCAAAATTGTATGTATTAACGAGATGTATAAGAATTAAGTAATAAACTATTTTATCATTATTTAAAAAAGCCTAATTTTTAGTAGTCGTGACCCGTAGCTTGAACAAAAGAGCACACACCATCGTTTTAAATTTGTTTAAACTTGAGTTGATTATTATCTCAATTTGTTGAACTCAACGGTTGGTTAGTCACCGTGATTTGATATTTCCGTTACTTTATGCACTATACTAGACGCTCCTTGTGATTCGATGAAGCAACTCTGCCTTTGTAGTGTGAAAGCGAAGAAAAAAGAAGTGGAAAAGAGTAGTTCGACTAGGAAAAAAGCACATAGCTGAGGAATCTTTCAGTACAATAGATATAGATATGTTGATGGATATCATAGAAAGAAGCTGTGGGGAGGACAGAACCGGGACCCAACCCCTTTACACTTTCTGCTTGGATGATATTTGTTCAACAGTTCAAAGTCTTTTTGGCTTTATACAATAGCTTTAAGAAAACAAAAAGAAAAGCTTGTATTGATTAGGCTTGTTAAATTGAATGAACCATCACTGTTTCTTGCCCAAGGCCAAGGGGATTCATCATCTTAAACATAGAATTGAATAATATTGACTTGGTGCCTTCCTTCCTTCCTCAGAGTTAGTGGGTTTCCTGATCATCCATCTGGTTTATACTTAACACACTTTTCAAATTCTTTAAAGAGTTATGCATTATGCATTATCTAATTCTCCATAATTATTAAGTCCAAGCTTCTAGGGTAAACAAGTTTGCTGCAAAAGTAATGATCCCCAAAAGAAAAAGGTGCCACAAAGTTCTTTTCTTTTTGGAACTGAAAGGTGCCACAAATTTATAAAAGAAAAAACAAAATTGGTAACTATTCCCCCAAGCTACCTAAGTATCAATAACCTCAAGCACTCCTCCAATAATAATAACATTGAGAAAGAACGATAAACATGAGGAAAAACAGAGGGGTAAAAGAGAGAAATCAACCCAAGAAGCTGTTAAGAAACGAAAACTATCTATCTAAACAATGGTTTTTTTTTTNGAATATCTATTGGCATGCTTGTACATTTTTCAAGTCATCTTGATAAAAATTATTTTTTTATATTCCATAGTTTTTGTAAAATGTTCAACCAGTTTGGTTCATGTTCCTTGTCAAAACTATTGACCTAGTTTCATTTGTTTATCTCGATCCTTTTTAAAATTCTTACATTTTGAAATATTAAAATGGTTTCAAAACAAAGTTTTCTTAAAGAATTATAGTTCTACAATAGCCAATACCACCTTCAAGACTCAAATTTGTCCTCTTTTTATCATAGTCATGGTATACGGTGTCCAAAATTATATGTATTAACGAGATGTATAAGAATTAAGTAATAAACTATTTTATCATTATTTAAAAAAGCCTAATTTTTAGTAGTCGTGACCCGTAGCTTGAACAAAAGAGCACACACCATCGTTTTAAATTTGTTTAAACTTGAGTTGATTATTATCTCAATTTGTTGAACTCAACGGTTGGTTAGTCACCGTGATTTGATATTTCCGTTACTTTATGCACTATACTAGACGCTCCTTGTGATTCGATGAAGCAACTCTGCCTTTGTAGTGTGAAAGCGAAGAAAAAAGAAGTGGAAAAGAGTAGTTCGACTAGGAAAAAAGCACATAGCTGAGGAATCTTTCAGTACAATAGATATAGATATGTTGATGGATATCATAGAAAGAAGCTGTGGGGAGGACAGAACCGGGACCCAACCCCTTTACACTTTCTGCTTGGATGATATTTGTTCAACAGTTCAAAGTCTTTTTGGCTTTATACAATAGCTTTAAGAAAACAAAAAGAAAAGCTTGTATTGATTAGGCTTGTTAAATTGAATGAACCATCACTGTTTCTTGCCCAAGGCCAAGGGGATTCATCATCTTAAACATAGAATTGAATAATATTGACTTGGTGCCTTCCTTCCTTCCTCAGAGTTAGTGGGTTTCCTGATCATCCATCTGGTTTATACTTAACACACTTTTCAAATTCTTTAAAGAGTTATGCATTATGCATTATCTAATTCTCCATAATTATTAAGTCCAAGCTTCTAGGGTAAACAAGTTTGCTGCAAAAGTAATGATCCCCAAAAGAAAAAGGTGCCACAAAGTTCTTTTCTTTTTGGAACTGAAAGGTGCCACAAATTTATAAAAGAAAAAACAAAATTGGTAACTATTCCCCCAAGCTACCTAAGTATCAATAACCTCAAGCACTCCTCCAATAATAATAACATTGAGAAAGAACGATAAACATGAGGAAAAACAGAGGGGTAAAAGAGAGAAATCAACCCAAGAAGCTGTTAAGAAACGAAAACTATCTATCTAAACAATGGTTTTTTTTTTTCCTTTTATCTAAGACGATCTATGTTGCATATTCCTAGCATCTTCAACCTGGTGGATGTCAGCAAAATCTTAAAAGCAGATGATACGACTTGGTGACCATTTCTGTTTCATAGTAAAGATTTTCTAGGTGCACTAATAAGAAACAAACTTGGAAAGGCAGATCATACTATCTGATTGTTTTTTTTGGTAAGTGATACAATCTGCTTGTTACTTCTGTGGCTCTATCGTGACTCTGTTTTTTACAATTTCAGTAGATTTGCTATTAGGCATAGTATATTCACAATCAAAAGGGCAATATCACTCTATTGAAAAAGGGGATTGCCACCAAGCTACATATTTTGTGTAACGTATACAATCTTCTTCTCCTCCGTCTTTCCTTTTACTTTTTATGTTATATTCCTTAACCATAAACAAGATAGTGGTAAGTGGGACAACCCAACTATTGCATCATCTGATGGTAAGGATACCTGTGGAGGTCAAGCTTCCACGTAGGTGGTGCGAAGAAGAAGGGTATTAGCTCCCATTTTAGAAAGTTCATCCGCCCAAGGGGGGTCATTCTCTGAAGTGAGTGTGACATTTGACATTCCTATGCTGGTCTAAGAGTGTGCAAGAATAACCGAGCACAGCCCCGTTAGGATCAATATTAGATCTTCCTTGTTGCTTGAAAATAGAATGATCTGTTTATGCCGGCCTCAATCTTTCTCCAATCTTGAGTCTTTCGTTGGTTCGTTTTCTTCTTGCAGATGACACACCCAGCTTCTATGAATCCGAGGACTCTGTCAGGAAATCAACCGAGAACATGGCATTCGAACTGGTGAAAACACCACAGTAAGACGGGCATGATCTGAAAGAGAATAATCTTCTGGCCACATGCCTTTCTCTACTTGAGTAGGGAAGAGAACTGCATTCTTCACACTGAAACCAATGGTTTGCTCAGTCCCGTTCACATCATCTTTCCAGACCCCATTGCTTATTTCGCCTCTTTGCTCTGACCGCGTAGGATTCCAAATTCGTTGCTGTAAAGCCATTACTAAACAACATAAGCATCAAGTCTCACATCTGTCAGCATAATTCTTTCATATTTTTGCACCTGTTAATTTCCTTTTGACACGGGGAAATTTGCAGGGGACAAGATTTGTTTAATGAACATATTAAATCCTCCAATAAAAGTGTAACAGATGCCAAAAATGGGAAACCCTCTAAGTCCAAAGCAATCACAGATAGAACAGCTCAGGCTCTAAAGCTCTAATACACAGGACAGTTGACACAATATCAGAGCCCACAGACTACTATCTCCTTCAGGCTTATACAAGATACTAACTGGGTGGAGGACTAGTTCTTTACATGCAAGTAGCATGAACAGAAAAAAAAAATAGATTATGAGAGGAAAATCAGACGGTGACACTACACAAATGAATGCAAAGTAAACGACACTTCTATTCCATGTAAGTTACCTGAAATTCTTGATAATCAATAACCCCATTTCCATCAATATCTGCTTGCACCCACAAAGCTTTTGTCTCTTCAACACTCAGTCCATATTGATGGCCGAGTAAATTAAGCTGTAGGATTATAGAACATTAGTAGGTTTACATCCTCGCTGCAAAGAATGAGTTGATTCTGTCAAGCCCATACTTATAAGGGAAATAACAAATGTATCTTACCTGACGTAATGCTTCACAAAAACCAGAGTAAGTAATGTAATCACCATGATTATCAGCCTTCAAAAAGGCAAATGCATCATTTTCTGTCATTGAGGCTTGCCGAAGTTGATGCTGAAAGTAAAAAGGTTCAACAATTAGAGATAACAAACTCAAGATGATGCTTTGTCATTCAAACTAAGAAAAATTGAAAAGTGCAAGCATCAATAACATGCGTATGTTTCTCATTCAATACCACACAAAAACTCTGACAAACTTAACAAAGATAGACAGCAATTGTATACGCACAAACACGCATGCACTCTTTCCCAGAAATTGAATAATACTAATTCCAAATATATAAGAAAATCTCATTATTCAAAGGAGAATTTGCCTGTATGTACCAGTTTCACGCTGCATGTACAACTTCTTTCTTTTTGACACAGATGAAATAAAATATTACAAGGAAATTACGTATGTGGTCTGCTACTTCTCCAACACAATCCAAGGAGTTAAATAAATAAATAACATCGTTAGAAATTATAATGATTAAGCAGTTAGACAGTTCATCTGTGCTTAATGAGTTCCGTGACATTGCCAATGTCAACCCTATATCATGCCCACTCCTTCAAAAGACTGGTAGGCCAACCACTTAGAACTATAGCATCTCCACCCTGTGGGTTCAAGGACTGATATCAATTCTCCAAAAATTAATCATACACTCTCTTCGTACAAATTTGCTACAAATAACAAGACGAGTAATCTTTGAACTTTCCTAAAAAAGCACAGTCAACCATAAGCCCGTAGGAAAGGGACCCTGAGACCACTTCTCAAACTGGCACCTTGTCCTGCAAGCCTAATGAAGCCATGAAGTATGTTGGTTGTCCTCAATTAGAAACGACCATTAGCATTCCTTAGCTCCTCACCATGCTCTCACCCTATGTTAAATGACCTTCAATATAGTTTCTCAGCTTTTAAGATTTGCATCTATAGATCAATCAAAAGAACTGCATATCAAGAGTGAAAATAAGAAAGAAAAAATAGGGTAACTTTATTGCTCACCTTAAACATGCCAAATACTGCTTCATTCCAACTTGTTTTCAAAAGTTTCCTGTATCCATCAGGATTGAGAAGCCATATAAAATCTACACCGCAGATGTTTCCCCGATGATTACGATGGCTAACCCACTGTGAACAAATAAAACATGAGAAACCAATATAAGCTACTACATCACTTTTGTCAGAAGTAATTGAGATTATCAACCAAAAGTGAAGTAGTGACCTTGTGCGCATCTGCATCAGTGTACTGATGAGCAGTATCATATGCTGACACAAACCCCTGAGATCTAAGGAATTTGTAAACATGACCTTGTTTGCTTCCATTCCAGTCACTGAAAGGGGAAAAGAAATTTATCATATCGAAAATACTTGGTAGTTTGTAAGACCACTCAGACAGGAATACAATTACTCAGAACTTACCCGCACAATATAATGGGCAATGGATTAAGCTTATTTTCCTTCTGATATGACTCGACATGCTGCAAGATTTTGTAGGCCTATTAGAAGACACACAAAATACAGGTTAAGAATACGAACACCGAATAATATGAAAATGAAGTGAGATGCATACAAACCAACACTTTGACAAAGAAGTTTATCTACCTGACGCAATCGTTCCAGACAACAACTTGAATCATGAGGAAATAATAAATGGGTGTTCACTATAAGAATTTCTTGCTGAACATTGTTGCTATGATATTGTGTGAAGGGTGCGACTAATTCAACATGTAATAGCTGAGCAACACGGTCTCCAAAATCATTGAAGAGCAACTCCCTATGGTTAAGAACCCTAAAGTAGTCCTTATGCACAGAAGTTAGAAGACCTGTTGAATCCCAAAAACAAATATCTGAATCAGCTCTAGGGTAATCAAAATGGGATTGTAAACATTTACCCAAGTTAAATTACAGTGGAAGTCAATCATTTTGTGTCCATATATATGTATGTATATAGATGTGTGTCTGTGTGCATATATGAAATCTGTAGCAATTCTTCATGAATAGCTGATATATGATGCCTATTCTCCCACTACTTTGAGAAATACAACACAAAAGTTAATGTCAAAAATGGCCACTCTACTGCTGAAGTTTAGTCTGGTAGGTGCAGATGTTGCACTGCCACCATTTTCTCAAAAATATTGGGTTCCCCGTCGAAGCACAAAAACAAGTACACCTGCTTAACAACCCTTCACCCACTTTCTAGTTTCATATGTGTCTGTTCTTACTCCGACTATGAGCAAATCATGTAATTTTTATAAACAAAAGAAACTAGTATCTAGAATTATGAAAAACCATTCAATGAATATATATCATCCAAATAAAATAAGAATCATCTAATGTACAAAATGGACTAAGATCTTTCAAAATGAAACTGTGATTTAATAGAAATCAATTCAGGAAAATGAGAGAACATACCATCACCACGGTTGTTGGTTCGCGCAAGCTTGAAATTGATATAACCAGCATCACTAAGTCTCCTCTTGTAAATATTGACAAGCTCTTCATTCCCAACCCAAAACTCCTGCATCAGGCGACAAAATACGAATATATTGTTCGTTCAGTGTGCCCATAGTTCTACTATCCACCCAAATTCGTTAAAAGAATGCACAACAGAATAGACCAAGGAATTGGCAAACCTGAAGACAGATAATGGAAGATCTTTCGTTCAACAACCAATCCAATATTCTCTGGTTCCTGTTCAACCAATACACCCTGTAATCGCTTTCCCGGCAACTTTGGTCCTGTCCTTTCAGAAATTCATTCAATACCATATAAATACCAACATATGACAGACTTGTACATACATATATAAGCACAGAACAGATGAGAATATGTATATTTCAGATTAGGACAATATGATTTATTGTAGAAAGAAGAGGTACCTTGTTATTGAGTCTCTTGTAGATTGGGGCGAGTATGTTGAAGGTGGTGCAGGAAATGCAGGTTGGGTCTTTAATGGAGGACGCAATGGCATAGCTACCGATTCTGGACACCCTCGCTTTCGTCATCCCTCCTCTATGCTTCCTTCCCATTGAAAACTTACAATATCAATGATATGTTAGTGCAGAGTATATCTATCTATGAACAAATATTTTCAATATATATATAAGGACACTGGGTGTTTTGAGTCGATGAACACAATGAGCAATGCAGCCACAACGGTTTCTCTGATATATATATATAAAATTTTCGTAGAAAGAGAGAGAATCAAAAATCAGGAGAGAGATGGCGAAGGGAATACCAATGGCAATTGGGAGAACGAGAGAGAGAGAGGGGAAATTAATTCTGGTGGTTATGTTTTTGCACTGTGCCATGCGAATTGTTTCGGGAATATATAATATGATTCCTGATATTATTTATTTATTTATTTTGAATGAATAATATTATTCATTATTAAATACGATTTAATAAATAAAATTGTATGAATTAAATTTTTTTTTATATGAATCTATCTCACTCAGCATAATTGGTAAAATTAATATAATTTTGTTTTATTTTAAAAATAAATAAATAAATATCTTGACCACCAACACCCACCGTGGCACCGCCACTAGAGCGTGGTGGTAAAGCAAATCAATCCTGCTGTGTTTGTTGCGCTCGTATCTCTCTGGTAACCTTCGCAGCATTGGCAGCCACTGATTAACCTGTGTACAGTATTTCTACTCCAAGGATTTTTTGTTTTTGTTTTTACTAATAATAGTAATTTTTAATAATATATTAAACATGAGGTCAAAACTTTTTGGTAGATCCCGTTGAATAAATTATGGTGAATATCGAGATATTTTCATTAATCCTAACAATTCTAGAGATCTAGTAATATTAATATTGCATAATAAACTTAAATACTCGGAAGTATCGTTACATTAAAGTTTGAAAATATGTTATCTCACAAGATTTATTACTAAGGATGTTAATATGATGCGATTTATTATCGTTACAATGTCACAACACAAAATTTTAGATTTTAGGTCTTTTTTAAAAATGCTTTTTTTATAAAAGAGTGGATATGATACGACATGATTAATAAACTAATTAGTATAAGTAAAATAAATTAAAAATAAATAAAATTATGTAACATAATTCGTTTAAATTTAAATTAATAAATAAATTAAGAATGAATAGATCCTTATTTGTTAGTGGTTGATGTGAAATTCTAAGACGCAAACGTTCAATCTTATGATAAAATATTCAGTCGGTGAGGCTACTTCTGTCGATGGTGATGGTTTGACAGGTACATGAGCCAGTAATTAGCGTGGAATATATCTTTGCGGGTTTATGTATCAAATCAAATAACAGTAGTAGTAGCGTAGGAGTACAAGTAGGGTTAGTTTCTTTGAGGGATAAGGGGTGATTTAAAGAAAATAGTATGTAAAATCTATTTTAAATTTTATTTATTTAACATTTTTTATTAGATATTAATCTTTGGGTCATAGTATCGATTTGGTATGACCAGTAGCACGAATGTATTTTACACTGTACTATTCAATACCACCTACCCCGTGGTATAATATTCTTTGTATAAATAATTTGAGGTATAATAAATTAAAAAGATTGAAATGCCCTCAGGTATAATGCTCATATAAAAGTCTAGTTATAATTTTTGACTTTTTAAGGTCAAAATTATCTTTTTTATATTGATTAATCGTAATTGTTGAATTTTTTAAGTAGATATTACATAGATAATGTTTGTGACAAATAAACAAGAAAAATGATAATATTATAGTTTAAGATCTAATATAATATATTATTAAATTAGAATAAAACGAATATAAAATCTGATTCTCGAAACCAATTAGCCCGTAGTGTGTTTGTGGGTACATGCATTTCTCCAAGTCATTATTCTTATTGCCGACAGTGATTAGAACAGAACATTATAGAGTCGCATCAGCGATGAGGGTGATGAATATTTGCGGATAAAATACTCTGCCAACCCAGAGCCAGAGGAGTACGGAGGCAACGCGTAGCGTTTCAATCATGTGGTCCGGGCCGGAGGGAAACTTCCTGCGAGTAAACTGATGAATTAAAATTTGAGTAATTCTATTTAAATTAAAAAATTTTAACTTAATCTATTGACTTAATAATATATTTTTTATAATTATTAATTTAACACTAAATTTTAATATTTAATAAATTTTATGGTCAATTCAAGGATTATATTGAATTAAATTTATAAATTAAGTCTAAATAATATTGCTCTTAAAAATTATATTCAGATATTTTTTTTATTATTTTAATAGTTAATCAATAATATTTTCTATTTTTGTTTTTTTATTTGTAGATCACACACCATGTATTAGAGAGAGAATTAATTATATAAGAGATCTTACTTGAATTTAGAGCAGATGATCTAAAAAGAAAAAAATAAATAAAAAATATTTCAGTGAAACAAATTCCTTTATTTTTTGGAAGAAAAAAAATGATATTTCAAATTATTGAAAAGTTTCAACAAACAAATTACTTGAAATTAACTTTGTCATAGAGGTACTGGGGTTTAATTAATGAATATGAGTTGGTTTTTTTTTTTTAGTTGGATGGACCTTTTTTTTGCTTTAGTTCAAGCTAATGTCGATTATTTTCTTAAATTTGGATACTTACCATCATATTTTAAGAGGATTTAAACTATATTTTTTGAAAAATAAAAATAACTTATCCTTAAAGAATATTAGCAGGTGAAGTATCAAAAATCAGGCTAAGACATTGAACCATAGTAAGGAGTTTGTTCAATGANGACCATCATATTTTAAGAGGATTTAAACTATATTTTTTGAAAAATAAAAATAACTTATCCTTAAAGAATATTAGCAGTTGAAGTATCAAAAATCAGGCTAAGACATTGAACCATAGTAAGGAGTTTGTTCAATGAACTTTGCTATATATATAGCCCCCGTAGAGCAACAATGTATGATGGCTTCATCTGCCTTTTCTTTTTTCTTCCTTATCTTTAAATTGAATGGATCTGACTTTTTAACACCTAAAAGGGTTGGTTCATGGTTGGCAAATAAAATGTGTAACAATTTGGTACCTATCAGTTTGGTGTATATAAAAATCAAGAAAATGACATCAGTTACATACACAAGTCAACATAAGCAAAATATTAGTCTCATTTTAATAATAAACATGATGCAAAGTAAACACTAAAAACTGTTTTACGAAATTGAATCTATACACCACCCAAGCTTGGCGGTGGTGTAGTAAATTGTACCCGTTTAGAGTTATCTTTTGAGTCTTATATAGTTATCAAATAAGGTTTAATTCACGAAAGTAAAGTAATGTAAATTTATTGCTCGACTTTGGTAGTGTCGTAATAGCGAATTAACCTTCTGAGTTAATAATTATAGCTCAAACTAGACACTCTACAGTGAGGGACATTCATGATTACGCACAGGATTACTACCTACCGATCGTTTTTGACCTTTTTTTTTAATAAAAAAAATAATATTTGAATCTATACATTCTCTATTAAAAAAAATAAGAAGAAAAGAAAAACCCCCTAACCCCAGTTACATTCTTTGCTAGTGACAACAATTTATTTTTTTTTTTCAATGATCAAGGGTGTCTGAATCAACTTACGGATATCTAGACTAATCTTCTCTCCGATCGAGTTAAAAGTAGGTCATCCACGTAAAGACTAGATTATTCATGAGATATAAAATCTTTCATGGTCTGATTCTAAAAAATTATCAAAATTTAAACTCAACAGATCTGAATTTACAGATTGTCTATTTTTCCCACTTAAACTACTCAAGTTAGTGACAACAAATTAATGTAACGCACATGAACAAAAAAAAACTGATTTATTTTTGTATGTTCCACACATACATTGATTGAGGTAGACTTGTCAACTCTCATCCCTTGCTTGAGACATGGGTGCAGACTAAGTTAACATAAGACCCATAAGAATAAGATTTCTGGGTTACCAACCCGGTCCCTTTCCTTCCCACCAGGGGAGAGGGAGGTCACATTTGTGGTTGGAAGCATTACATCTAACATCTTTTTCAAGTTTAGTATCCCAAGTACACTCCTCCCAATCATATTGCGGATCCAATTTCCTTTTTCCTTGGAAATGGGTTAGATCGATCGCTATAAACGGCAAAAGAAAAAAACTTAGAATGAATTTGCTTGTTAGATTCTGTTCTGTTTGATTATTCAATTAATGGACAAACTTCTTTCCAATTATAATTACAGAAACACATGAGCAGACTTAAATATGTTCTATATAATTAGACATTAGCTGTGTGTATGTGGTCCTATACAAGCAACAGATTTTGAAATATCCTTTTTTGTGTACTATAGATAAGTTTGCAAAACTTGATGACAATTTATGAGGTAAAGGATCTTTTGACAGATAGTACTTGTGGAAGATATGATGGCTATTAATTACCAACCCATTAGATAACATTTGTTCTCCTTGATGTGCGTTTGTTTAAACTTCTTGACAAGTATCCTATTCTCCAGACAAGAAAAAGAAAATAATTATCACATATTTTTTTTTACGCTTTTAAGAATTTTGTGAAAATTTTGAATGTGCACGTCAATTTTTGCACAATAGTTGAAATAAAAACAGATATCACCCACGATAAACTTTGATTTATTTAGAAGGCGGTTCTAACAGAACGAGAATAGGTTGATAGGGACAAAGGGAGCTTAGGTTATTGTAATGATTTGCTTCTGGAATATTCGACCGTTTCTGGTTGGGATTCAACTCATCGGAATGGTGAATCTGACAACGAGAAACAGGTTAAGAGGGACAAAGGGGTCTTGAGTACTGGTGATGATTACTTCTCGGGATGTCGTTCAGGCAACAAGAAATAGGTTGAGAGGGACAAATGAGTTCTAAGGACTGGTGATGAATTACTGCTGGTGGTGATGTCAAACTAATTCCGAAAATCCATATGAAATTCCTGATACACAGAAAACAGGTTAGAAGGGTGTCAGAGTGCTCTCTGACGTATCCCCTCCGACGATCAAGTCAGTCTTTTTAGAGTGGGGATGAAAAAAACACTGTATAGCTCTTGTGAGGCAATCTGCTTACATTTGTAATATATTTTTAGAGATTATTTATACCTTAACAAACTCATCATTGCTGACATTCTAGACTACTAGTAACCTTCAGAGGTGGGGCAGTGTGTCTTTTACTTTTGATGGGGAATGTCCCAGTATTGATTGGTCGGCTTGTCGAGTATTTAATGTTCTTTCTTTTACGTAATAGCATTAAAAGTCCAGATCCCCAAGCATTTAATGCTGTAACTTTTTGGCTTATCAAACCACAGTAAATGTCTTGTCAATTGACGGTATATTAAATGAGTGTTCTTGTTGGCCGCATATCAGCAGGGGTTGGCCTGTCTTTTTACTCCTTATACTGTACTTGTCACCACATGTCTGACGTTCTTTGGTTGAATGTCCAACTCAACCTGTTTCCCTGAATGCTTTATGAAGAGTGTCTTCGTAGTCCCTAGCCTAGTTTAGGTTGTCCATCCGTCAATCCCTAGTCTTCTTAGGAGTCGAGGATTTATGAGCCGAGGGGCATAGCACAGAAAAGTACCTCTTGGGACTGAGGGGGCTGCTGCCGAGAGGCATAAATTGTGCCAATGCTCTAAACGGAGGCATTCTAGGGACCGAGGACACGTGGCTATGATGGATGAAAAAAACTCCTCGAAGCCAAGAGCACATGTCATCGATCTAAGGCCTTTCTGAACCATTAAGTATTTTTTTCTCAGGATATGAAAATGTTCCATCTGTATGTTATTTGTGTGGTCGGTAATGCTTTAAAAACCAAAATTTCATAAAGAATTCAATAAAAAGAAGGATGTGACTCAACTAATGATATTTTGTTTCAAGACAAGAAAGGCCATTCATATCATGGTATGTACAAAAACACATGGCACCCGTTTTCATGCATGGATCATAATGTTGGGCATTAAAGATCTGTAGCTCTTAACAAGGCAAAAAAGCAGTGAAAAAGATGTGACACAAGCATCCCTCATAGGTGGTTGTAGACATTTATGTTTTTATTATGTTCTTTTTTTCGACGTCAAATGTACAGAGATCAAATATTTCTTAATGGCACTTGTATTCCTACAGGGATATGATATGATAATTGGTTTCCTGATGTTTTTGACAGCCTCTGTGCCAAACATTTCTCTCTTCTCTACCTTCCTCTTTCTTGTCTTCTTGGCTTCTGACAAGTAAAACAATGCAAAAGATTTCTGTACACTACATTGTAAAACATAAGTTATACTAGATCTAGAACCCAATAGGGTTGAGTTGCAAACTTAAATCTCTTAAGTTTGAATTTTGACAATTAATTGGAACGAGACTATGAAGAAATTATTCCTCATGAATATTCTAGTCCCGACATGGATGATTTGGAAAAGAAAATCTCCGAGGTACTCGTAAGTTGATCTCAAATACCTGCATTAATAGCCTTTATTTTAGGTTGTAGGGTTCCATCATCCGACCTGTGACTCCATCAATGATACTTCAATTTCCTTTCATAACCTTGCAAAAGATTTTGTGATAATTGGTGTTAAGTCCTCTTCATAGAATTTATAATGATTTAAATCCATCATTTAAACATATTTCATTTAAAGTTCTAATATTATCTTTGTAGTAAGTAGTTAAGTCCAAAATGTCCATAAAAAATCCAAGATTCATTTGTTCTCTACCTTTGCATTTTCTTTACATTTTTTGACTTGGGTTGATCCAAAATGTATACTGGGCCCAAAGCCCATTGATTTGGCAATCCTGAGCCCAATTTGGTTTTCGGGAGTCTAGTCTAGGGCAGGGCATTCCAGTAAATACAAGAATGTATAAACACACACTTCGCTTAACGATTTTCCTCTCTTAGGGTTTTTCTCTGCCTCACTTCTTTTCCCCAGAGAGAGAGAGAGAGAAGATGAAGACGATTCTGTCATCGGAGACTATGGACATCCCCGAGGGGGTTAAGATCAAGGTGAAGGCGAAGATGATCGAAGTGGAAGGACCAAGAGGCAAGCTTACGCGAAACTTCAAGCACCTCAACCTCGATTTCCAGCTCATCACAGACGAAGCCACCGGCAAGAAGAAGCTGAAGGTCGACGCTTGGTTCGGCTCTCGAAAGACCACCGCTGCGATCCGCACTGCTCTTAGCCACGTCGAGAACCTCATCACTGGAGTCACCAAGGGGTACCGCTACAAGATGCGTTTCGTCTACGCTCATTTTCCTATTAACGCCTCCATCACCAATGGAAACAAGTCTATTGAGATCCGTAATTTCCTTGGCGAAAAGAAGGTCCGTTCATCTTTCTCTTAGCTTGTGTATAATTTACATACGCGCACACATTTCCACTGAACATGTTTTCGATTTAATCTCAGAAGTCTTACATTAGATAAAATACAATATTTTATTGTCTTTTTTAAATTGGTTTCGGTTGATTCCAGATTGAGGAAAATTGTTGATTATATTAGACGTGTTTCTGCAAATTTTACAGCTAAATATTAATGTTCTTTAGCACTAGATTTAATTTCTTTCTCCGGTGAATGATGCATCTAAGATTGCCTTCGTGATTTTTTGAAGGATCCAAAAGTTAGATTGATTCCATAGTTGGTTTAGGGCTTAAGACTATCTTATGGAATTTTTATCGTATTTTGACTATGAGTTGGGCAACTTCCATGTATCAATGGCTGTGCAATACGTAATACTTGTTATATTATGTATACATTCTGTACGTTAATTTTTGGTTTTATTTATTTTACACAAATTTTTGATGGAAAATGATGAACTTGGAATATGATCACTACAAGAGAGACTATAGATATTTAATGTAGCTCAATGTGTTAAAGTTGTTTGTTTTGTAACAAATGACTTGGTTCTCATCCCTGTTTAATTTGGAATCATGCTTCACTTGCATGCCTGATCATAAGGTTGTCAAGCTAAGCACTTTGCCATAAAATGTTACACGTTTGTACCTACATACTTATAGAAGTGCACCAGGATTATGATCTTCTATTCTGTGGAGTGCATTTACATCTGCTTCAGAGGCTGTGCCTTAGTTGGCATTACATTGCATATAGTTTTAGCTCCTTTGTCCCTTAATCTCGTACATCTGAATAGCAACTGTTAAGACCAAATCAAATATTCTATAATCAGTGTTGTCATGGCTTATTTCCTTTTATTTTGGGTGCCAGGTGAGGAAAGTGGATATGCTTGAAGGGGTTTCTGTTGTCCGGTCTGAGAAGGTTAAAGATGAATTGGTACTGGATGGGAATGATATTGAACTTGTTTCCCGGTCTTGTGCCCTGATTAACCAAGTACTCTCTCTCTCTCTCTCTGTCTCTCTCTCTTACTCTCTCTCTCACACACACACTCATTTGTTTGATCCCATGTCCACAGATTACACACCCATAAATTACATTGTCGTTGCAAGCATTAGTNTTGTTCGATCCCATGTCCACAGATTACACACCCATAAATTACATTGTCGTTGCAAGCATTAGTCTGACTCAAAATGCATTACTTTATCTTGCTGAACTTCTCTGTGTTTCTGTTTGAACAGAAATGTCATGTCAAGAACAAGGATATCCGGAAGTTTCTTGATGGTATTTATGTCAGCGAGAAGGGGAAAATAGCTGAGGAAGAGTAATTAGTTAGGAGTTTTTTATATCTCATAATTAGTTTCTTTCTGGAGTAGTAATTTCTTTTTCATTTCCAGAGTTTATTTGGACACCTGTTATGAACTTGTTTGAAAGTAATTTCACAATTTTGTGGTGTGAGACTTCAGTTCTAAAATGGATTGGTTGGGTTACCATCTTACTTCCCGTCATTTCTTTGAAGGAGTTGTAGGCTTGGTGTGCCATATTTGGAAGAAATATGATATATGAACCATTGAATAGTTTATTGTGATTTTAAGGGTTTCAAGGCCTTTTCTTTGTGATTTTCTTTTTTCTTCTTGTAATCTTGAATTTCAGTGAAGACCAATATTTGGGATGTTTGCTGAAATGCTTTCGAAATGCCCATGCAGTTTGATCTCATTCCTTCTTTTCAAATTGGGGACTCTTGTGCAAAATATTGTATTATTGGATAAAGCATCGTATCATGCCGCTATGTTATTATCTCATGGTAGATTATGGATATCTTGTCGAAGTAGTCAAACCAACCTTGACTGGTGGCATGGTGAATAATGTGCATAAAACTGGTGCACGAAATGTTTCTGGGACTGTCCCTGTAGTCCTGTAACTTGCTCATAACAACATAGAAAAGTCTCTGTTTACTCGATGTTAGCTTCAGGGCTGTACCTGCTGACTTGTGGCTTTGTGTTTTGATTTGGGGGTTTTTTGGAGGTTGCTGCTGGAAGAGAAAGGATGGATGGTGATAAATCGTACTTGTTGGACTTGACATGGGCGGTGAATGAGAGAGATTTGGTACCGTGGCAGATACGATTACGGGGGTTTCCGGTTTGGAAATTGGATTTCTTTTGACTGTTGGATGATAACAAACAGAGACCAGGGTTGCCATCTAGTCGACCTACTGGTTTGTTCATTTATTACACAATAATGGATATCTAGTTGCAAACATGATATATCACTATATGCTAATGAAATCATTGTAGGTATTGGATGTAGCAATTATAAATTAGAAAAAAAAAACTCAAGAAAAAATCTAGAACAAGATCCTAACGAGAGAAAAAGATAGACAAATAATACAAATTAGAAAACTCAACGAGTAAAGAAACACACTAAAATTTTGTCATATTTTGAATTCCTAGCTTCTTATTTTAATTGTTCTTGTTCCACATAGAAGTGGATTTTCAAATACAAATTAATAGGACAAATATAATAATCTTGAATGTGAAAATTAATTATAATACAATTTAGTGAAATTCACTAATTTTTATATAATTATTCATAATCAATCAATGGAATGTTTTGTGAGTGGTGAAAAAGCCATTTAGGAGAAACGGATGAGGGAGTAGACCGCTAGCGGTAACCTTACAAAGTTGCCCTGAAGAATAAGTGATTTCGACAATGGGTTTTACTAGGGCTTTGTAAACCCCCCTCTCTCTCTCAAATTCCAAACACCTGTGGCTGTGAAGAAAAGACCCCAAAATCGATATAAGATTTCACCGATTCAACACACAGCATTAAAGTAGTAGAGAAATGAATATCGCTAGATCAAGGTCTCTCAATACCCTGAAATTCCTGAATTACCTTTCTCAAACACCTGTTAGCTATAGACCAATCTCAACTTCGTCTCCGTCTTCCATTCCCATAGAATCCTCTCTCCTCTCCAATAATCTTTCCCCATTCTCCAGCTCTGTCCGCCATATNTAGGGTTTTTCTCTGCCTCACTTCTTTTCCCCAGAAAGAGAGAGAGAGAAGATGAAGACGATTCTGTCATCGGAGACTATGGACATCCCCGAGGGGGTTAAGATAAAGGTGAAGGCGAAGATGATCGAAGTGGAAGGACCAAGAGGCAAGCTTACGCGAAACTTCAAGCACCTCAACNTACCCTGAAATTCCTGAATTACCTTTCTCAAACACCTGTTAGCTATAGACCAATCTCAACTTCGTCTCCGTCTTCCATTCCCAAAGAATCCTCTCTCCTCTCCAATAATCTTTCCCCATTCTCCAGCTCTGTCCGCCATATCCGTACCAACCGCGGCGATCCTAGTCTCAGGTATGAACGTCACAAATACATGTATATATTTATATATATCAGTTTCTGATGTGTAATTTGTGATTGGAAGTGTAGATATGAGATTCCACCTCCAGTAAATTGGGGAATCCGAATTGTTCCGGAGCAGAAGGCGTTCGTGGTCGAGCGATTCGGAAGATATGTCAAGACTCTGACACCTGGAATCCACCTCTTGATTCCATTCGTTGACCGTATCGCCTATGTGCATTCCCTCAAGGAAGAAGCGATACCAATTCCGGACCAGTCAGCTATAACGAAGGACAATGTCAGCATTTTGATTGATGGGGTTCTTTATGTGAAGGTATGTTTGTGTGCTTTTTTTGTTGAATTTAACGATTTTAATGGTGTATTAGTTGATTCAAACGAAAGTTTATTTTTTTTTTGTTTGGGTGATTGTAGATTGTGGATCCGCGGTTATCATCTTATGGAGTTGAGAATCCCTTGTATGCAGTTATTCAGCTTGCGCAGACAACTATGCGCAGTGAGCTTGGGAAGATCACTCTTGATAAGACGTTCGAGGAAAGAGATACCTTGAATGAGAAGATAGTGGTGAGCTTTCAATTAAATCTGCTTATTTTTTTGCAGTTTTTTTTTTTTTTTGCAGTTTTTTGTGTTTCTTCTGATTATTTGTTTGTTGTTTATCTCATTATGGTAGTAGGTATAGTAAATTGCATGAGTTGTTAAATTCTACAACAAAATTTACTATTAGTCTTAAATTGTTGGAGAGTTGAATCCTTTTGTTATGTATAGTGAGGGTTTTACTTAGGTAGGAAGAATTTCAGGGGTAAATATTGAGTGTGTAGTTGAATGAGATGCATGATTTGATCTTAAGCTAGCAAGGCTGTGATGTAATGCGGTTGGAGTAGTTCTTAGAGTCGGCTGAACACTATGGGTGTCCAGATACAAAATGTAGCCAAGTACATAAGATTTCTTTCTTCATCTCAGTCCAGTATTAGTACAGAAAGAGGATGAGGATTCAGTGCGCTGTCAATTAGAAAGATGAAACATACATTAAATCCTAGTCACAGGTTGTTTTGATCTTTTCATTCGCCAAATCATATTGAACACCCAGTTAGTTACTTCTAGGGATTATTATGTGCTATGGTAAATATGGTTGTAAATTGCGAGGCAAGGTCCCTTGAAATAACTTATTGATGAAGGTGATCAAATTGATGTGCTGGAAGATAAGACAGGAGTAGATTTAGAAGGAACATACTACTGAATACTTAGAGGTCAAGCTAGTAAAATCTCACGGCACTCCAGATTACCTCTCTTTTTTTTTAGCATGCTATATGTTCTATGTAATTGCTATACTTAATTTACCCCTAAAAAAGTGTTTCTAATTGTTTTGTAATTGTGAAAGGGGGAGGATTGGACTGCTTTGGTCTCTAGGTTTGGGTTACTAAAATAACACGGCACTCCAGCTACTCTACATTTCATAGCAACATGCCCTTGCTGTCTAAAGCCGGGATCATGTTAACATGGCTTTGTGAACTGTGCTAAATGTATGATTATGTATGATAAGTAGTGTTTATGAGTACTGTTGCTTATGGTTAACTTTGTAATTCTCGTCTTTAAGTTTATAAAGGATGGATAAAAGTTGTTTGTATGCTGAATATCCTGTCTCACACACACCATAACAATTACGGATGAACACATTATATGCATTAACTCAAGTTAGTGGAGCACTTTCTGGAAGCTAGGTAAACTTTGAAGAATCCAGCACTTGAGACAAACAAAGTATATAATGTCTGTATTAACAGATATTTGAAATCATATTAGATACAACACAGCCCAAACATTTTAATGGAGGTTGTTCTTTGATGTATTTACTACCNGATTTTTTTTTTGTTTGGGTGATTGTAGATTGTGGATCCGCGGTTATCATCTTATGGAGTTGAGAATCCCTTGTATGCAGTTATTCAGCTTGCGCAGACAACTATGCGCAGTGAGCTTGGGAAGATCACTCTTGATAAGACGTTCGAGGAAAGAGATACCTTGAATGAGAAGATAGTGGTGAGCTTTCAATTAAATCTGCTTATTTTTTTGCAGTTTTTTTTTTTTTTTGCAGTTTTTTGTGTTTCTTCTGATTATTTGTTTGTTGTTTATCTCATTATGGTAGTAGGTATAGTAAATTGCATGAGTTGTTAAATTCTACAACAAAATTTACTATTAGTCTTAAATTGTTGGAGAGTTGAATCCTTCTGTTATGTATAGTGAGGGTTTTACTTAGGTAGGAAGCATTTCAGGGGTAAATATTGAGTGTGTAGTTGAATGAGATGCATGATTTGATCTTAAGCTAGCAAGGCTGTGATGTAATGCGTTTGGAGTAGTTCTTAGAGTCGGCTGAACACTATGGGTGTCCAGATACAAAATGTAGCCAAGTACATAAGATTTCTTTCTTCATCTCAGTCCAGTATTAGTACAGAAAGAGGATGAGGATTCAGTGCGCTGTCAATTAGAAAGATGAAACATACATTAAATCCTAGTCACAGGTTGTTTTGATCTTTTCATTCGCCAAATCATATTGAACACCCAGTTAGTTACTTCTAGGGATTATTATGTGCTATGGTAAATATGGTTGTAAATTGCGAGGCAAGGTCCCTTGAAATAACTTATTGATGAAGGTGATCAAATTGATGTGCTGGAAGATAAGACAGGAGTAGATTTAGAAGGAACATACTACTGAATACTTAGAGGTCAAGCTAGTAAAATCTCACGGCACTCCAGATTACCTCTCTTTTTTTTTAGCATGCTATATGTTCTATGTAATTGCTATACTTAATTTACCCCTAAAAAGGTGTTTCTAATTGTTTTGTAATTGTGAAAGGGGGAGGATTGGACTGCTTTGGTCTCTAGGTTTGGGTTACTAAAATAACACGGCACTCCAGCTACTCTACATTTCATAGCAACATGCCCTTGCTGTCTAAAGCCGGGATCATGTTAACATGGCTTTGTGAACTGTGCTAAATGTATGATTATGTATGATAAGTAGTGTTTATGAGTACTGTTGCTTATGGTTAACTTTGTAATTCTCGTCTTTAAGTTTATAAAGGATGGATAAAAGTTGTTTGTATGCTGAATATCCTGTCTCACACACACCATAACAATTACAGATGAACACATTATATGCATTAACTCAAGTTAGTGGAGCACTTTCTGGAAGCCAGGTAAACTTTGAAGAATCCAGCACTTGAGACACAAAAGTATATAATGTCTGTATTAACAGATACAACACAGCCCAAACATTTTAATGGAGGTTGTTCTTTGATGTATTTACTACCATGGAATCAAACATCTAATCTTTAACAAAAGTATATTTGGTATTAACACCTAATTTTATCTTAATATGTTAACCTTCTTATATGCTTAGAATTGATTGATCTACAATTTTTTTTTTGCAGATGGCCATCAATGATGCTGCAAAAGATTGGGGTCTGAAATGTCTTCGTTATGAAATAAGTAAGTGGGCCTCTTTTAAAGTCTATTTTTTGTTGAACTTTGTTTATCCGTATTTTTCGACCGCAACTTTCACGCATGTCCCATATTTTTTTCTTTTTAAGGGGATATATCTCCTCCCAGGGGAGTGAGGGCAGCTATGGAGATGCAGGCGGAAGCAGAGCGCAAAAAGAGAGCTCAGGTTCTGGAGTCGGAAGGTAATCAAGTTTTCACTCTGTCCCCTCTTTGATTTGTTTTTCAGTTCATTTTGTGCAGGTCCAATAATTTTTTGAATCTGTAGAGTTACTGGTGTAGCATTCTTGTCATTACTTACGCAATGACACGGAGTCCAGGCTTCCTATAGGAGTTGGCTTAATATTTTGTCATTTGGTCCTAAAGTTTTTTTGTTCCATAAATAATTAAGGCATAATAGGATAAGGAAGGAACGAAAAGGCCTCACATAATTGGAGTATTCACAACTAAAATTGGTCGATCCTAAAAAAGAATTACAAAAAACCCACTAAATGCTCCAGTAAGTGATGAAATACCCTAAGGCCACCATTTTTGCAGTGGATGCCAGGATTCACAAGACTACTAATTTATCAAAAATCTAGAATTTGCGTACATGAACTAATTGTATAATAAAGAAAATGGGCGGGTGGTAGAGGCTGTACCAGACCTCTCAATCAACTGCGTTGTGGAGGACGGCTGTTAGGAATAATCCCATTACCACCAATAGATATCGACATATAATTTCTTGCTCCCTGATATGAACTGTTGTGATATTGTGTTACCAAGGTGTGAAATTGTCCCAAGTCCTTGCCACTTCAGAAACTGTAGAACCTGTCAAGGAACAAATCTAATGATTGCAATTCCAGAAATTGGGTTATTCATGACTAAGAGATCTACTAAAAAACTTACTCATTTACCCATGAATGTAGTACCCTTTTACATAGGAAGCACGGATACTTCTCACATGGGTGCCGTGGCAATGTTGGACACGAGTCCAATACGGAAACGGCTAGAAATGTCTTGAATATTGAACTCAGTAATTCAATTGGACACAGCCAAGACATGGCCAAGATATGTCTAGGACCAGACCAAGAATTTTTTTATTAAAAAAAATAACTTTTAACTATTAAAAGGAGTGTGATTTTTATTTTTTTAATATATTTTTTGTTTTGTAACTTATATACTATGAATGTTAATAGATGTAGTGATATTTGATAAAAATGGTAGATATTTAATTTGATCTATTTCAATTTTAATCAAAAAAAATAATATTTGCTAGGTCTTATTATTAATATTGTTATAATATATGCTTTATTTATATTACAACTCTATTATTATTTAAAACATATATTATATTATTTTAATAGCCATATGCTTGTAATACCCATGTCATATATTTTTGACCTTTGTCGTCTCTCCATGTCCGTATCGATGCTTCCTAGGTAGTACCTAAAATGTGTTTTTCTTTGTGTATATTCTTGACATGCTTCAATTATAACAGGAGAACGGCAGGCACACATTAATATTGCAGATGGGAGAAAGAGCTCAGTTATCCTTGAATCAGAAGCTGCAAAGATGGATCAGGTTAACAGAGCTCAAGGTTAGTTATCATGCTTTCCCTTTTTTTACCTTCCTGGCAAATGGCAGATCTGTAGCAAATGTAGTGTTGGGGTTTGTTAACATGGACTAGGATACCTGTGTCAGATGCTAGCATGTTTTTGAGCATGGGAATCATCTATATCCAAATTATATGGATACTGTTAATGTTGACAGGGGCAGCCTAGTACACTGGGCTCCCACCACTACATGGCCTGGAGAGGATTAGATGTAGGCAAATCGTGCCTGCGGGTGAGAAGAGGAGGTTTCTATGACTCGCACCCATGACGACCAGGTCACAATGTAGCAACCTTGTTTCACTACCAAGTTATTTGTTGGTTTTGTATATCAGGATAACAACTTCCATTATCGCATATGTATCATTTTAAGTTGAGATGAACTTTGTTGCTAGTGTAGAAATAAAGAAATGCTGCAAGAGTTATGCACTAGTCTTTCCAGAGTTTGCCTTTTTCCATAGCAGAGGAAGCCAAGATGTTTTGTTTTNGATCTACTAAAAAACTTACTCATTTACCCATGAATGTAGTACCCTTTTACATAGGAAGCACGGATACTTCTCACATGGGTGCCGTGGCAATGTTGGACACGAGTCCAATACGGAAACGGCTAGAAATGTCTTGAATATTGAACTCAGTAATTCAATTGGACACAGCCAAGACATGGCCAAGATATGTCTAGGACCAGACCAAGAATTTTTTTATTAAAAAAAATAACTTTTAACTATTAAAAGGAGTGTGATTTTTATTTTTTTAATATATTTTTTGTTTTGTAACTTATATACTATGAATGTTAATAGATGTAGTGATATTTGATGAAAATGGTAGATATTTAATTTGATCTATTTCAATTTTAATCAAAAAAAATAATATTTGCTAGGTCTTATTATTAATATTGTTATAATATATGCTTTATTTATATTACAACTCTATTATTATTTAAAACATATATTATATTATTTTAATAGCCATATGCTTGTAATACCCATGTCATATATTTTTGACCTTTGTCGTCTCTCCATGTCTGTATCGATGCTTCCTAGGTAGTACCTAAAATGTGTTTTTCTTTGTGTATATTCTTGACGTGCTTCAATTATAACAGGAGAACGGCAGGCACACATTAATATTGCAGATGGGAGAAAGAGCTCAGTCATCCTTGAATCAGAAGCTGCAAAGATGGATCAGGTTAACAGAGCTCAAGGTTAGTTATCATGCTTTCCCTATTTTTACCTTCCTGGCAAATGGCAGATCTGTAGCAAATGTAGTGTTGGGGTTTGTTAACATGGACTAGGATACCTGTGTCAGATGCTAGCATGTTTTTGAGCATGGGAATCATCTATATCCAAATTATATGGATACTGTTAATGTTGACAGGGGCAGCCTAGTACACTGGGCTCCCACCACTACATGGCCTGGAGAGGATTAGATGTAGGTAAATCGTGCCTGCGGGTGAGAAGAGGAGGTTTCTATGACTCGCACCCATGACGACCAGGTCACAATGTAGCATCCTTGTTTCACTACCAAGTTATTTGTTGGTTTTGTATATCAGGATAACAACTTCCATTATCGCGTAAGTATCATTTTAAGTTGAGATGAACTTTGTTGCTAGTGTAGAAATAAAGAAATGCTGCAAGAGTTATGCAGTAGTCTTTCCAGAGTTTGCCTTTTTCCATAGCAGAGGAAGCCAAGATGTTTTGTTTTGATTGCCTTACTATCAAGTTGTGGCCCTTTGGGGTTTTTTGTTGTTCCATTGGCAATGTGGTCCTCCATTCTTTTAAACCCGCAGCTTTTCTGCTCCTTAATCTCCTATTGATGCAATGTTGCTATGGATTATTCTCTCTGATATCAGTGTTGTTGTCTCTTTTCCTTTTGGTGTAATCCATTATGTTTCATTAATAACTTTATTTTTTGAAAAAAAATTGAAATCAGGCGAAGCGGAAGCAATCCTTGCTAGAGCACAAGCAACATCCAAAGGAATTGCAATGGTGTCACAGACCCTTAAAGAACTTGGGGGCATGGAGGTGAGGGTCTTCAGTCCTTAAATTGCATTTATTGTACTTATTCATTGGTACAATGCAGAAGTCTCTTTCTGAAATGTCAAATAACTATTCAATTGCTTATCTAATCNAGGCTAACCATCTCACTAATTCACAACTATCTCTCTCTTTTCTCTTTCATATCTCCTTTTTTTTTGTTCACCTTAATTTTAAATTATATAAATAATAATAATAATAATAATAATAAATTATTATTTAAAATATAAATATTATACGACCAATATATAATTTTAATAAATGTTAAATAGATTTAAAAAATTAGTTTAAAAAGTTGACTTGATGAATCACTATTATTTAATAANATCTGACTCATATTTCTAGCCTGAGCGATAGATCTCTAATGGCCATCGGAGATTTTGATATTTGGAAATTGTGTTATTGAGGATTTGTTTCTGGAAGTTTATTTTCTCCTACCAGGCAGCCCTTCTTTGCCCCGTCTTAATAGTANACCAATATATAATTTTAATAAATGTTAAATAGATTTAAAAAATTAGTTTAAAAAGTTGACTTGATGAATCACTATTATTTAATAAATAGTAAACCTCAATAAATACTGAAATTTACAATGAAATCAATAATAAATATAATAATTATATCTTCAAGTCAAATTTTTAAGTGTGTATAACATTAGTCTATCATTTTTAATATTCCAGAGTATCATCACACTCATTTTCTTTACAGATCTGGGCATGAAAAATTAGGTTTGTACACATGCAAAAGGCAAATCTATCTTACTTTCAAAAAAAAAAGTCAAATCTTTGCTGATTGTCAACTTTCGTTTGGTAGAGCGTAGCCCATTAAATAGACTTTGGGACATTGTCTTTGATGGCAGCCACAATATCGGCACTTAGTCGGACTTCAAACCACGCACACATCTCTATTTAATATTAGAGAGAGATTTATTTAATTTTTTTTATTTTAATTCATTGATATAAAATTTATCTCAAAACAGATTTTTTCGTTTTAATACATCATTTTTTAGCACGTCTTTCATGGTCAAACACGTCATCATACTTTCTAAATTCAAACAATCTCATCAATCCATACCTATCTCTTTTTTCTCTCATTTTATTTTAATTTTAATTTATATAATAAAAAATATTTTTTATATTTATATATAAATATTACATAATTAATGTTCAATTTTTTTTTAATATTATANCATACCTATCTCTTTTTTCTCTCATTTTATTTTAATTTTAATTTATATAATAAAAAATATTGTTTATATTTATATATAAATATTACATAATTAATGTTCAATTTTTTTTTAATATTATACAAAGTTATTGCTAGTGTTGAATATTAGGCCAAGCCTTAGCATCTCCAATAACAAATTATATTTTAACTACCCAAAAAGTAACTTTTTATTTTAACAACTCAAATTTTTTACATTTTTAACTACTTCTTTTAAATATTATTTCTCATTTCTTTTATATTATTTTTTTTAAAAATAATGAAAGAGAGAAAGAAAGAGAATGGAAGAAAGGCGAAAAAAAGAGAGAAAATAATATAAAATATATTTACAAGTTGTTACAGTTTAGAGTATCACTATAGCAAAAATTTATTTTAAAATATATGAACAGCAGCATCTGTTTGGAACATAATTTTTGACTTTGATTTGATAAATTTTAGCTATTGGCATCGGTTGAAGCTGCTCCTACAAGGCTTTTGGGCAAAACTTCAACATACAGTAGGCACTGCACATTGCAATGGTGCTCCGGTCATTGTGCAGGTCCNACTACCCAAAAAGTAACTTTTTATTTTAACAATTCAAATTTTTTACATTTTTAACTACTTCTTTTAAATATTAATTTTCATTTCTTTTATATTATTTTTTTTAAAAATAATGAAAGGGAGAAAGAAAGAGAATGAAAGAAAGGCGAAAAAAAGAGAAAAAATAATATAAAATATATTTACAGGTTATTACAGTTTAGAGTATCACTATAGCAAAATTTATTTTAAAATATATGAACAGCAGCATCTGTTGGAACATAATTTTTGACTTTGATTTGATAAATTTTAGCCATTGGCATCGGTTGAAGCTGCTCCTACAAGGCTTTTGGGCAAAAATTCAACATACAGTAGGCACTGCACATTGCAATGGTGCTCCGGTCATTGTGCAGGTCCAGTTATTTCAAGTTGCGTCGGGCCTGGAAAAAAAATTCCGCTACCACAAAATTATAAGTTTTTTGATTGATTTCAAAATTATTAAAACAATTATAATTTGAACCCATTGAGATGATTCTTATAATTTACGATTCACGAGAATTATTTCAAAGTAATTAGTAGAGTCTTGAATCGTATCTCAACTAGCCATAAACTTCCATGCTAAACACAATAATACACGCACAAATTCATACACANAAGAATTATTTCAAAGTGATTAGTAGAATCTTGAAACGTATCTCAACTTTTAAGAACAAATAAACATTTTAATGAATAAGAGTTCTTTAGCCATCACCCACCACAAAAACTATAAGAGAAACAACTAGCCATAAACTTCCATGCTAAACACAATAATACACGCACAAATTCATACACAAAAACATAAGACATAAGACATCGTACCATGTCCAAGTAAAAACAACATCAAATCAAAGAGTACCAACAGGAGGGCCTGCCCACCACATTTGTAGGCTTATTAATAAATAGTGATACGTGCTACTGGAGACGTGGTGTCAACCTCCCCCATTCCCACCGTCACAAGGCCCTAGCTTGACGACACTTACACCGGCACAGATGGCGTCGGGACAGNAGAGGGCCTGCCCTGCCCACCACATTTGTAGGCTTATTAATAAATAGTGATACGTGCTACTGGAGACGTGGTGTCAACCTCCCCCATTCCCACCGTCACAAGGCCCTAGCTTGACGACACTTACACCGGCACAGATGGCGTCGGGACAGCCGCACGAGTAGGTGACACCGTTGGCGCCACACACCGGTTCATACCGGAAGCAGGCTATGGGGCAAGAGCTTGGGTCTGCTGTTCCGGGGCAGAGATTGATGTCGTCAGATCGGACGGTGAGAAGGCAATTGAGGATGGTTATGAGAGTGAAAAGAGAGATTGAGGAACGACTCATCATGCTGGCTGGGCAAGCTTTCAATTGTTTGGAGTGGGGGAGAAGGAAAGCTCGCCTTTTAAATTGCAAGCCCCGCCGATTTATAAGACTTACTATCGAAGTAGAGATAAGAACAGAGACCAAAAATGTTTGAGGAATGGATATGGACCGAGAGGAAAAATTGTTGCTCCGGAGAGGAGAAAATACACAACGTGAACACGTTTAATGGTGCCATCCTTCACCATTTATTGTATTTCTAAGTATTTTTATCAGTTTTTTTTTTGTTTAACGGTTAAAATTATTCGGATCAATTTACGCTCACTTCGATTAATCTTCTCTCCGATTCAATCAAAGACTAATCATCCATGTCACAATTAGAATATTTATGAAAGATTTATCCTTCGTGATATTATACAAGAGATAGTTTTATGAGTACTTTTATTACTCTTAGGACACTGAAAAAAATGATAAAAATAAAATTCTATCCAATTCTATGTATGGATAAAACATAACGACTGGGGCAGTATAACACTCAAACTAATAGCATGGATGCAATGTGAAAAGTATTAAATAATTTAAGAAACAATGTGAAAATAAAAGCGTAATTACAAATGGTTTGACATAGATCATGTTAGACTCAGATTTTTCCCAAGTTGGGCCTAGAACAATACCTTCCGTTATTTGATAGCAGATGTCCTTAGAATCCGGTCCAATCCATGCTCAGCCCAATTTACATTTACAACGTAGCTGACAGGAATGAATTGTGCAACTTCGCTATTATGCAGGTTTTTATAATTTTGAAAAAATAGCTTCTCACAGCTGGGGCTAATAATCAAAACAAACTACTCGACTTCGACTTGTTTTGAGTTTGGGTCGGGCTTGGTTTATNCAGGTTTTTATAATTTTGAAAAAATAGCTTCTCACAGCTGGGGCTAATAATCAAAACAAACTACTCGACTTCGACTTGTTTTGAGTTTGGTTCGGGCTTGGTTTATTTTTTAAACAAGTTAAGTTTGAATAATTTTTTAAAAAAACTTAGTTTGAACTCACAAAATTCAATTCATTTATATGTAAAATATTAAAATAGTCAAACTATTCGGACTCAGCTCGAGTTTGGCTCATGACTCCGCTCATTTTCTAAATGAGCTTGAATAATATTTTTAATTTATTTAGAAAAACGAGCTGAGCAAGGTTTATTCGAACTCGCAAAACTTAATTCGATTATCGTCTAACTTAGAACCCAAATTACAGCAAAATGTCTGTAACTGTCATAACTGTCTTGCCAAAAAGGGAAAGCGCCAACGAAAACTATGTTGTCCCTATGATAAGATATAAGCCATTTCTGTCCACAGCAAGACATCCTTAATATTAGCAAGCAGCTCTACCGCTATATCACCTATTTTCTTGCCACTTTTTCATTTCAGCCTCTGATCAAGTTTACTCGGTTATATAAATTTCCATGTTGGATTTTCACACCCCTGCCTCCTCCCCCCTCTTATTGGCTTCGTGCACTCGTCCCATCATCTTTGAGAATCATGGGAGGCTGTGCGAGCAAACCCAACGATTTGGATGGCCAACCGGCACCACTCCCGGTCCCGGCTGACACCCCCGACAGCCCTAAGAATGCCGAGGGCGAGACCGTTCCCCAAGTAATTATTCCACCCTTTTTCAATTCTTAGCACATATTCTCTGTGTGTGCGTGTGTGCATAACATTAGCTGCATTACCAGAATTGAAGTTATTTGCAATTTTTATGATTGCATCTTGATCTTATCTTAATTTTATTTATTTGCTAATTTGTTTTTCTTTTTCTTTTTGTTCAATTTGATTGGATATATGAAGGACAATAACAATGGAGGTGAGGATAAGAAGGACGAACCTTTGGTAAATCTTTCTGAACCAGCTTCGGAGGCTCCCAAGGTTGAAGACACCGAAGCAGCCACTGTTGTTGAAGAGAGTAAGCCAAGTGAGGTGACTTCAAAGCCAACAGAAGAGAAAGTTGAGGCCCAGGAGCCAACCAAGGAAGAGAAGAAAGAGGTAGCAGATGTTGTTGCAGAGAAACCAGAAGTCCTAGTTGCTGCCCCAAAAGCAGAGGATAAAAGTGATGCACCTCTCGTTTTAGTATAATAAAATTGTTAGATTCATTTATCTAACACAACTGCGATGGTGTGTTATCATCATGTTACTCTTGACCATCCCACAAATTGATTTGCTAAGAGGCTCATGTAGTAACATTCCAGCAACAATAAAAACATTCCCATTTCTTTATCATACAACTAGCCTCTCCGTATACAAGTAAACTCAAGTACATTTGATTCTCCCCATATTCCTTAATGACAAGAGTTTTGTGTATTGGCCTCGTCTTTCTTTAATTGTTTTACAGCTAACATATTATGGGTACACTTCATCCAGTTCAATAATGAAGAAAGGACTGATGTTTAGGTGATCTTGCTAAGCCCACCATTGGCGTCATATGTGGAGGCAACTAGGATAGCAGGCACAATAGTAACCTCCTTTGAGGTCCCCTGTTCAGCTTTGTTGTCATCCTTTACTGCCAACATGATGAGAACCGCCAAAAACGGAAAACTTATGGTAGTAAGCACCNTGACACTGAAAAAAAATGAAAAAAATAAAATTCTACCCAATTGAGGATGGATAGATCATATCTTCTAATATTATAAAATTCTATGTATGGATAAAACATAACGATTGGGGCAGTATAACACTCAAACTAATAGCTTGGATGCAATGTGAAAAGTATTAAATAATTTAAGAAACAATGTGAAAATAAAAGCGTAATTACAAATGGTTTGACATAGATCATGTTAGACTCAGATTTTTCCCAAGTTGGGCCTAGAACAATACCTTCCGTTATTTGATAGCAGATGTCCTTAGAATCCGGTCCAATCCATGCTCAGCCCAATTTACATTTACAACGTAGCTAAGGTACGACAGGAATGAATTGTGCAACTTCGCTATTATGCAGGTTTTTATAATTTTGAAAAAATAGCTTCTCACAGCTGGGGCTAATAATCAAAACAAACTACTCGACTTCGACTTGTTTTGAGTTTGGGTCGGGCTTGGTTTATATTTTTTAAACAAGTTAAACTTGAATAATTTTTTAAGAAAACTTAGTTTGAACTCACAAAATTCAGTTCATTTATATGTAAAATATTAAAATAGTCAAACTATTTGGACTCAGCTCGAGTTTGGCTCATGCCTCTGCTCATTTTCTAAATGAGCTTGAATAATATTTTTAATTTATTTAGAAAAACGAGCTGAACAAGGTTTATTCGAACTCGCAAAACTTAATTCAATTATCGTCTAACTTAGAATCCAAATTACAGCAAAATGTCTGTAACTGTCATAACTGTCTTGCCAAAAAAGGGAAAGCGCCAACGAAAACTATGTTGTCCCTATGATAAGATATAAGCCATTTCTGTCCACAGCAAGACATCCTTAATATTAGCAAGCAGCTCTACCGCTATATCACCTATTTTCTTGCCACTTTTTCATTTCAGCCTCTGATCAAGTTTACTCGGTTATATAAATTTCCATGTTGGATTTTCACACCCCTGCCTCCTCCCCCCTCTTATTGGCTTCGTGCACTCGTCCCATCATCTTTGAGAATCATGGGAGGCTGTGCGAGCAAACCCAACGATTTGGATGGCCAACCGGCACCACTCCCGGTCCCGGCTGACACCCCCGACAGCCCTAAGAATGCCGAGGGCGAGACCGTTCCCCAAGTAATTATTCCACCCTTTTTCAATTCTTAGCACATATTCTCTGTGTGTGCGTGTGTGCATAACATTAGCTGCATTACCAGAATTGAAGTTATTTGCAATTTTTATGATTGCATCTTGATCTTATCTTAATTTTATTTATTTGCTAATTTGTTTTTCTTTTTCTTTTTGTTCAATTTGATTGGATATATGAAGGACAATAACAATGGAGGTGAGGATAAGAAGGACGAACCTTTGGTAAATCTTTCTGAACCAGCTTCGGAGGCTCCCAAGGTTGAAGACACCGAAGCAGCCACTGTTGTTGAAGAGAGTAAGCCAAGTGAGGTGACTTCAAAGCCAACAGAAGAGAAAGTTGAGGCCCAGGAGCCAACCAAGGAAGAGAAGAAAGAGGTAGCAGATGTTGTTGCAGAGAAACCAGAAGTCCTAGTTGCTGCCCCAAAAGCAGAGGATAAAAGTGATGCACCTCTCGTTTTAGTATAATAAAATTGTTAGATTCATTTATCTAACACAACTGCGATGGTGTGTTATCATCATGTTACTCTTGACCATCCCACAAATTGATTTGCTAAGAGGCTCATGTAGTAACATTCCAGCAACAATAAAAACATTCCCATTTCTTTATCATACAACTAGCCTCTCCGTATACAAGTAAACTCAAGTACATTTGATTCTCCCCATATTCCTTAATGACAAGAGTTTTGTGTATTGGCCTCGTCTTTCTTTAATTGTTTTACAGCTAACATATTATGGGTACACTTCATCCAGTTCAATAATGAAGAAAGGACTGATGTTTAGGTGATCTTGCTAAGCCCACCATTGGCGTCATATGTGGAGGCAACTAGGATAGCAGGCACAATAGTAACCTCCTTTGAGGTCCCCTGTTCAGCTTTGTTGTCATCCTTTACTGCCAACATGATGAGAACCGCCAAAAACGGAAAACTTATGGTAGTAAGCACCCAATTCACTGTCAGTTGGTTTAGGAATGGCACCTTGTGTGCGTCAACTTGCCAAGCAACTGCACCCCCTGCACTCTGCACTCCCTTGTAGAACCCAGTATACCTGCCAACATATATTGCAAACACCAACTGTTATAGTATGAAATAGGATTAAAAGGGCGTCTATAGGTCGTACCTGTCCCATTTATAAGTAGTGTAAATCACGTCTTGTCAAAATTTATTTCACTCGTATCTAATTCATTTAGAAGTCATGTTAGTATCGTGCGTCTATAAGCCAAGTCATATTGTGCTGGTTTGAGTTCGTGTTAACCCATTAACTTGATGGGTTTGGTAAATTACAAACTCGTTAAGGTTAATTCGATTTAATTTTCATTTCGACATAATGTCAAATCCAGCAATCTTGTCTAAAATTGTACCTGCTAAGGATCTCAGAATCATCAGCCAAAGCTCCAATAACCCAGTAAACCATGCTCTGGAACATGGCATCAAGCAATCCATAGCTAAAATACAAGACAAAAGGCCCCGCAAAATCAGAACCATCCTTGAAATCCAGCTTTATCTTAGGCATATCTTGGCGAGAATACTCAAGCTGCTTAGCAAGCCCACCACCCCAAATCGCAGTCCCAAGCAGACCCACAACTCCAATCCCAACCAATCCCCTTTTCCTTCTGCTCTTAAAACTGAAATCCATAATATAGCCCACAAAAACAGAGCCAATCATTTGGGCACCCCAGTAGAATACATTGTTCAATCCTCTGGTTCTCAAATTGAACAAAGCCCCATTAACATTATTGAATTGGTAGCTATAAAAGAAGTTACTAGCCCAAGAAGCTGGGATGATCAAGAGCATCTTCCAATTGAGGAACAATTTGAGAATTTCAATGATTTCCACAGAGACACTGGAGTATTTTATATTTGTACACTGAGATTCATCGTCACGAACAACACGGCTAGGATGCAAAATTGCTAATGAAAGAATAGTCCCCACAGACATGAAGATCATGAACCCAATATAGGTTCCATCATTTACAGAGGTGGCTTCTTCTCTATGGTAATTCAGGATAAATGGTATAAACCCCCCAATCACTCCACCCATGTTGAAAATGCTCCAGAACATGGAGATAAATGTCCCTTTGCGATCGTGGGGTGGGTATGAGGTCATGATAGCACCCTGGGCAGCCCAAACAAGGCCGGCTCCGGCGCCGAGAAAAGCGCCGGCGACGATGACGAATGCCTGGTGGTGGTAGTGGTTGTAGTAGAGAAAAGAGCCGGCGTAGAGAACATACGTGGAGCAGCCAGAGAAAAGGGTAAGGTGTGGGCCTAAAATATTGTAGATGCCACCACCGAGGATGCCGAAGACGGCGAAGGTAGTGTAGAGGGCGGTGTTGGCATTGTTGACGGCGGTGGGATCGACCTGGCCACCACCACCCATACCGGATAAAGCATTGAACATGCCAGGACAACAGAAACAGACTAAACCTATCAAACCAACTTGCACTAGGGGTGAATTGTACCTAAAAATGGAGGGATTCATTGAAGATTTGTGTGACCCATTTCCTGTTTCATTATCTGCTTGTAAACCCATAACGGGATTGATGGGGAAATAAGAGAGAGAAGATGGAGAGATTAGGGATGGAGAGGTTTGAGAGCAAGCAAAGAAAGCATGAATGTGTAACCGAGAGAGAGAGTTGGACACCAGATAGTGTTCTCTTCAACTTGCCACTAACCGGTGTTTTATTTTGTTAGCCGTAACGAGTTTGAGGTCAACGGGACAGCAGAACAGTTGATCGCAAAATTGCGCCGTCAAATTTTGGGATCAAATTTAAAATTCAAATGACACTATAATTAATTTGAATTTTTTTATTTGGTATCATATCATTTGAACTCCAATAAAAACTCTAAATAATATATTTTCATGTCATTTAAGTTTCAAATTTAATTTCAAAATTTAATCGGTGTAATATTACTCTAACAAATTTTCATTTATACTCTCAAAAAAGATATAAATTATACCAATACATCTTTGAAGCTAACCGGTTTACCGTTTAAAATTAATTAGGTAAGTTACACTTACACTCACTTAGGTTTGTCCCTTAATCGTTTCGTTTAGATCTCTTCACATTTAAAACATTATTCACACACCTCCTGACGTTTATGCACGTGTAATATATAATTCATTGTCGTTGATATCTGTTAATATAACAGTTAAAAAATATGATTTTATCATAATAAAGAATTATAATTTTTATATTACCCTTTATTTTATGTGCTCGTTATACTTTAAAATTTAAAATCAAGCTTATCTATTTAAATGCCCAATATAATACAAGTATTTATATAATATTATTTATATCCAATACCATACATCATTTAAACAGAATTATTTGAATGCTAAATTGGGAGAACATTTTTAGTCATATTTAAATTCTCAAGGGATGTACGTATAATATTTTAAATGTGAGGGATATAGGTGATTAAGTGACAAGTATGAGGAGGTCTAATTATAATTTATCTATTTAGTTTTAAACGATAGGTTTCAGTTGTGCATTGATACAAATTTTTATTTTTAAAGGGACAATTTAAAATTTTTAATCTTTGAGGGTGTAAATTAAAAATAAAACTATCTTTTAGAGTATAATTTCAGATTAACCCTAGAAAGAATTTGTTTAATTAGTAACAACAAAGACAAGGCTTGCCTAATGTCAGTATCCCGCTGTTTGATTTTAAAATTATAGGTTCGAACTTTGTTTTGTCCACTTTTATAATAATATACAACACCACAAAATTATTTTTTATTGATTCCGTTGGATTAAATATTTAACTTTGAATAAAATTGGTGCAATTAAGATAATGTTTTAAAACTATATAATCTGTCGGATAAGCTTGATTTTTTTTTATTATTATTATTTTTAATTTCTAGTATCCTCCTTTACTATTTTAATTTCTTTTAAGACCCAATGCTAAACGGCACGGCAGGACCACCACAAGAGAAGTAACTGAGGATCCAAGGCATCAATTACAATCTCTGCGGTCTCTTTGATTAATTGTATGTAGCAGGCATTGAAGGTCTGGGACTTAGTAGTTTGAAAGCGGCTCTTGTTTTCCCACCAACCAAAAACTGCATTAAACTTTTCTAGTGGAAGATGAAACTTAACGAGACATTATGAATTTTTTTTGTTACCATAAGGTGACGTGTACCAAACAAACAGCTAGTGATCGCGTCACATGGTTGGGGTGTTCAGGGATGAAGCCCATGTGGGAGTCGGGGGTGAAATTCGGAATATTGGTGCATAGTTGAGTTGGCAAAAACGTGCGAAACAATCACAAAAACAGAAAGAAAAAAAAAACCCAAAAACCTAATGTGTACTATNGTCGGGCTTGGTTTATATTTTTTAAACAAGTTAAACTTGAATAATTTTTTAAGAAAACTTAGTTTGAACTCACAAAATTCAGTTCATTTATATGTAAAATATTAAAATAGTCAAACTATTTGGACTCAGCTCGAGTTTGGCTCATGCCTCTGCTCATTTTCTAAATGAGCTTGAATAATATTTTTAATTTATTTAGAAAAACGAGCTGAACAAGGTTTATTCGAACTCGCAAAACTTAATTCAATTATCGTCTAACTTAGAATCCAAATTACAGCAAAATGTCTGTAACTGTCATAACTGTCTTGCCAAAAAAGGGAAAGCGCCAACGAAAACTATGTTGTCCCTATGATAAGATATAAGCCATTTCTGTCCACAGCAAGACATCCTTAATATTAGCAAGCAGCTCTACCGCTATATCACCTATTTTCTTGCCACTTTTTCATTTCAGCCTCTGATCAAGTTTACTCGGTTATATAAATTTCCATGTTGGATTTTCACACCCCTGCCTCCTCCCCCCTCTTATTGGCTTCGTGCACTCGTCCCATCATCTTTGAGAATCATGGGAGGCTGTGCGAGCAAACCCAACGATTTGGATGGCCAACCGGCACCACTCCCGGTCCCGGCTGACACCCCCGACAGCCCTAAGAATGCCGAGGGCGAGACCGTTCCCCAAGTAATTATTCCACCCTTTTTCANCAAAATTTAATCGGTGTAATATTACTCTAACAAATTTTCATTTATACTCTCAAAAAAGATATAAATTATACCAATACATCTTTGAAGCTAACCGGTTTACCGTTTAAAATTAATTAGGTAAGTTACACTTACACTCACTTAGGTTTGTCCCTTAATCGTTTCGTTTAGATCTCTTCACATTTAAAACATTATTCACACACCTCCTGACGTTTATGCACGTGTAATATATAATTCATTGTCGTTGATATCTGTTAATATAACAGTTAAAAAATATGATTTCATCATAATAAAGAATTATAATTTTTATATTACCCTTTATTTTATGTGCTCGTTATACTTTAAAATTTAAAATCAAGCTTATCTATTTAAATGCCCAATATAATACAAGTATTTATATAATATTATTTATATCCAATACCATACATCATTTAAACAGAATTATTTGAATGCTAAATTGGGAGAACATTTTTAGTCATATTTAAATTCTCAAGGGATGTACGTATAATATTTTAAATGTGAGGGATATAGGTGATTAAGTGACAAGTATGAGGAGGTCTAATTATAATTTATCTATTTAGTTTTAAACGATAGGTTTCAGTTGTGCATTGATACAAATTTTTATTTTTAAAGGGACAATTTAAAATTTTTAATCTTTGAGGGTGTAAATTAAAAATAAAACTATCTTTTAGAGTATAATTTCAGATTAACCCTAGAAAGAATTTGTTTAATTAGTAACAACAAAGACAAGGCTTGCCTAATGTCAGTATCCCGCTGTTTGATTTTAAAATTATAGGTTCGAACTTTGTTTTGTCCACTTTTATAATAATATACAACACCACAAAATTATTTTTTATTGATTCCGTTGGATTAAATATTTAACTTTGAATAAAATTGGTGCAATTAAGATAATGTTTTAAAACTATATAATCTGTCGGATAAGCTTGATTTTTTTTTATTATTATTATTTTTAATTTCTAGTATCCTCCTTTACTATTTTAATTTCTTTTAAGACCCAATGCTAAACGGCACGGCAGGACCACCACAAGAGAAGTAACTGAGGATCCAAGGCATCAATTACAATCTCTGCGGTCTCTTTGATTAATTGTATGTAGCAGGCATTGAAGGTCTGGGACTTAGTAGTTTGAAAGCGGCTCTTGTTTTCCCACCAACCAAAAACTGCATTAAACTTTTCTAGTGGAAGATGAAACTTAACGAGACATTATGAATTTTTTTTGTTACCATAAGGTGACGTGTACCAAACAAACAGCTAGTGATCGCGTCACATGGTTGGGGTGTTCAGGGATGAAGCCCATGTGGGAGTCGGGGGTGAAATTCGGAATATTGGTGCATAGTTGAGTTGGCAAAAACGTGCGAAACAATCACAAAAACAGAAAGAAAAAAAAAACCCAAAAACCTAATGTGTACTATGTTATGTAGCATAAATTTCTTATGTTTCACATGAATTCTTGGATGCAAGTCAAAAAGGGTAGAAAATTTGTGAAAATGGTCCGAAAAGCGAGCTCAAAATCAATAACCAAGATGTTTGCAGTAAAATCCTAATCAACTTGTCTAGCCTGCACCCAGTAACCATACGCTTAGGCCCATCACACATGGTTCGGCCCGCATATCAAAACACAACCCTGGTCCCTGGCATCTGGTGGGCCACTGGACGTTAAGCTTCTAAAGCCCAATTTGGTTCATTTGAGAAGTTCTTATATTTAACCGCTACGCAATGCGGTTTATCCTCAGTCCTCACACATTCCGGCATTCATCCCCATCCTCTCTGCACAAAGCCAATTTTCTTCGCAATTCTTAGAATCAGTCTTAGCACGAATGCTGATGCTTTCAGTAGCATTTGCCGGCGCATCTTCAATTTCTGTCTCCACTATATCATTCGTTGTTCCAACCATTTCTACCAGTTCCAGTAGTACCGCTGGTAGGTTTGTTCGATTGAGAACTCGAGCCTTCCTCAACAAGCCATCGACGTCGCTGCAACAAAACACCAAACAAACGCCTTCTGTAGTTTATGAGAGTCTCAGAATTCTCGAATGGGACAAGGTCTGTGACTCCGTCGCTTCCTTTGCCGGCACTTCCCTGGGCAAACAAACTACTAAGGAACAGCTATGGTCTTTGAATCAATCCTACGAACAGAGTATTGGACTGCTAGAGGAAACCAATGCGGCGGTGGAGATGCACAAATACGGTGCAATCATGGATTTCAGTGGGATTGATTTCGAACTTGTAAGTTAATAGCAATTTACTTTTTTGTTTTTTCCTGTAAACTGTGGTTAGAACTTAGTTGTGTTAGCTACCAACCAAGTGATGGAATTAGTATATATACAAATAGCATTGCTGGATTGGGTTCACTGGAAATTTATGGTGAAATATGCAAGTTCCCCAGCACCATAGACTACTCTGTGTGTGTGTGTGTGTGTGTGTGTAGAATTTGGTGCAGGAAGAAGATATCATTAGCATAATTAGTGCTTATACACCTCTCCTATGGATATGCACTGTTGGTGTATGGCTACAAGAATTTTGGGCTCGAGGAATACTGGCATCTGCAATATTATTTTCGCAACTACAATTGACCATGAAGAAAAGGCAGTATAAGATATGGTGTTCTATGGACCACCATTGGAGAAAGGAATAAGAAAGGGAGATATGACATGTTCCAAGGAAAGAGCATGGTATGGATTTGAGATTGATAAATGAAATGACGAGATAGGACACTAGTACAAATTAGATACACTTCTGAGATAGGATTAGTACGGTGTAGGCAGGATATGGATTGCTATCTAACCAGCAGGATGTCCATCTGGAAAGCATACTAAACTTATAAATAAGAGATGATTGAGCAGTTCCATTAGTTGTAGGGTTAACTCGTACTGAATTGAGTGTAATAGGAAATGTATCGATCTGCATCCTGTAACTTTGCCACAACCACTTAATACTTCACTGATTGCTGCATAGAAAAAAAGTGCTTTTTTTCATTATATTTATAGAACAATAATCATAACTTTGTTATCCTTGAAATAATTATTAACAAATTAAATTTGTGATACCAAAATTTTGATTGGGTTCACTTCTAATGTGCTGTTGTCATTCTCTCATTCATACATTGAATGCTTAATGCTCTCTATATGCATTATGGGTGCTAGAAAACTGTCTGGCTTTTCATCTTTGAAGGTGAAATCTTCCATCCAACATACCCGGAGTGGGTTGCCAGTGGATGGAGGTGCAGCGATGGCAGTTGTAGATCTTCTCCAGTTTGCAGAAGCTTTACAGTTTAATGTCAAAGCTGCAATCAAGGAAGACGCAGATTGGTATCAGCGTTTCATGCCTCTTGCTGAAACGGTATATTTTCATGAGTGTTCATTACACACCTCGGTGCCCTTGTCTTTCTATCTTTGATAGCCTTGCTTTTTTGTGCAGATCTTGGAATTGGTCGTAACCCGTTCGTTAGTGAAGTTCATACAACAAGTTATTGATGAAGATGGTTCTGTTAGAGATTCAGCAGTATGTTCTTCATTATCCCATTTAGAATTCCTTTTTCATGGATTTTTGCCCGTGACCTTTATGTATCATTGGAATGAAATTGATATTGCTATCATCTATCTCCACTTGTGCTGACATACAACACTTCATTATTTTTTGGTCTCTAAGGCTTTTGTCCAATGTATGTTCCTTTTGTTACTCACAAGCAAGCATATTCATTAGTGTCCTTAAAGGGAAAAAAATATTGTTCGAATATCGTTAGTATCATGTAAGTAGCTTACTAGCTTCATTTCATCTTAATTTTTCTTTGTTCCTATTTCAGAGTCCTACCTTGAAACTATCTCGTGATCAAATTCGGCGTATTGAAAGAAAGGTAAATCATGTTTTTTGCCTGTCTAATTAATGCCATTCATTGGAGAGTTACCCATTTGTAATATGGAAAGAAAATAAGTTTTGTGTATAATGGCCATCAACCAGGGCCGATATTGCAATGTGCTACTTGGGTTCTTTGGTGACTCTTCCTCATCAGCATGCACATATGTCAGAAAGTTCTTTTACTTTACTGCCACAAAACACTCAAATGGATCATTGTTTGCTTATTAATGGTTGTCCTATCAGCATGCTCAAACGCATACAGAAGGACAATATTAGTGATTATGGGCAAACTAAGAAACCAAACTGTTGTCCCAACCTATGGATCCATTGAACTGATTTCAAATGATTTGGACAAGTCTTTGTTTAGTTTGGTATTCTTAGTTTGCTCATAATTGCCAATAATTTGTTTTTTTATGAGTTTGTGCTTGCATGTTGGTTGAGTGAGCAAACTTTTGGCATTAAATCTCAAGTTGTTATTCAATTCATCTAGTACTTGAGCTATGGTTGGAGCCCTTTTCTATGTACTCTAGCACAAATACCTGAAATTTTTTATGTTGGTGTACGGGGTGCAACTTGGGTTGGGCAACCCGATTTCAACCCGAGCCCAAACCGAAAAAATTAGAGCTTGGGGAAGGGTTTTTAATACTTAGATTGTGCTTAGGTCAAAAAATTTCAACCCGAATTCAATTTGGGTTGGGCTCAGGTTAAGGTCTAGGGTTCACGGGTTCAACCCAAACCCGAAAAATTAAAAAAAAAAATTATATATATATATATATATATATATATATATATATATATATTGGTAATGGTTTTTCTATCTCTCTTGTTCATTTTCATTTTTGTTGTAGCATTAGCACTGTTAAAAACTTGGTTAAAGTTATTGGTTGTTAATTTAAGTGAATATTATGTAATACATGTATTAGGTTTAGAACAAAAAACGTATTTTGGACTCAAACCGAACTCAACCCGAATTGAACTCGTAAAATAACCCGAAATTATTAACCCAAATTCATCTGAACCCGCTCGAATTAAACTCGGGTTGAGTTCCTCAACCCGAGGTAGGGTTAGGGTTAAGGTTAAGGTTAAGGTTGAAGATTATATACCTAGGGTTGACTGTCCAACCCACCTAAGTTGCACCCCTAGGTGTACCTTAGGTTGCTTCATAGCAGAGCAGATTTAATTGTTCAGGGGAAAAGATATGAAAACTAAATTATTTTGTAGGAGATGTTCACGTAAATCAAAAGTTCCTCAATAACCATAAAATAAGTTCATGGCACATGCTTATTCCCCATGTTGTGTTGTGTACCAAATGGGTGCTTCACACAATTTCAAATGCCCCATTTTCAAGGTCACATATCACTAAGATAGAAAAAGAAAAGCAAAATGAAGTAATTGCACAAGCTTATTTTCACAGTGTCATTGTAATGCAATATAGTTATGGATTGTATTTTCAGCAAAAGCACTGCTAGTTGGAAATTTCAATTGCTCAAAAGATATCACATTCTGAAAATTTCCACCATGCAGAGGCATTAATCTGTTGTTGAGACAGCTTGAAGCTGGACACTCTGCTATCCATTGTACTCTTACAACTAAAAGTTGTTGGTAAATTTGGACGCATGTGTACATAAGAACGCCTACTCATTACTTGATAAGAACATGAAAACATGAAATTAGATTTTCTTCTCTGGGTTTCTACGCATATATTTATTTATTAGTTTCCTTATATTACCATATAGTCATTCATTTGAAATCATCATGGGTCTTCAGTCTTACTTAATCCTTTCTAATTGTCATTTATGTTTGTTTTTCATTCAGTTGTACCAGTTGATGGAAAGCCTGATTAGAAATGAAATGAAAGAAACTTCCTCACTGGTAACCTCGGCTTAAAGTTAATCTCAATTTGTCATGTTATTTCCCTCCAACTGTTATTATGCTTTTTGCTTCAGGAAGTTAATAGTCTTGATGGAAGATGGTGTATAAAATCGGGAGCTGACATGCGGACAAGTTTTGAGGGCTTATTGTTATCAAGGTGCATTAAACATCTTGCATGACTCTTAATTGCCAATTTCCATGCCAAGGACTCTCTGGTCGGACATTAACAGTCCTAATTAACCATGTATGGGATACACACTAACATAAACTTCGGGGAGATATTTTATTGTACCCTCTTTTTATATGGTGGAAGCATTACTAATGGATAAGCCATTCCTAAGGGATAATACCTGTTGTAGTGGTTCAGGTGCAGGTAGCATTGTGGAGCCACTCTCTGCTGTTCCCCTGAATGATGAGTTGCAACAAGCAAGGGCATCTGCAGCAAAGGCTGAGGCTGACATGCTTTTGAAGATAACCGAGAAGGTTTTGCTGGATTTTTTCAAGTGGCAATATTTCCCACTACTCAGATAATGCTTGAGCTGTTCATTGTTTGTAATATTATTCTCTTCACAGATGCAAGTGGATCTTGATGACATTGAAAATTTATACAACAGTATGATTCAACTGGACGTGGTAGGTTGTCCCTTACTGAATTTACTTTTTTCTTTGCATTCCCAGTTGTCCTTTCAGTTTTCATCAAAAAATTATATTTGTCTTTGCAGTTCCATTAGAATCATATATAGTTGTGCAAATTATACAGTTCAGTCTTATTTTTATTTTCACTTACAGTGAGTTATTGTCAGCGTAAAGTAGATTTTATATAATTTCTGCTTGGCAGATGACAGAAACTGCAATGCATATTACTGTAAGTAGCTGAGACTTGAGAGTTAGTTTCATTTGTGAATTAAACTCTGAGGAAAAGGGACCAAAATGTCATAATGATCTATCATTTTACAGGTCCATCTTTTTCATACATTTTATATGGTTTATCTTAATGCAAATGACTCGAAGATGAGTGCTTGGTCTTGAGGCCTTACCCTTTGAGGATATTTTTGCATGCCAATTCATCTACCTTAAAAAGCACTGCTTCATGTTTTTGGTATTGTTAGTGATAGAGGAGAAATTTTCCAAAAGCCTTTCATATGTTGCATCATATGATTGTTCTAGTTGGTGATTCAAATTTCATTTAATTTGTGGTAATGTAAATGTAGATCAACGCTCGTGCAAAATATAGTCTTTCATTTGGAGGCACATGTCCTGATCTATTTTTGCCAGAAGACACTGAGAGTTGTCTTACTGTCAAAGCCTTATCAGGGGAAAAACTTTCAGTGGCATCACACTCCACTCAGAGGAAATGGACACTGTATCTGCCAAAAGCTTATCATCCTTTATTACTTCAACAGCATCGGCACAGTGTGCAGAAGGCCATAAAGGATGTCAGTAACGCTACTGCTGTAAGTTATACATTGGACTTATCATGAAGGTGTTGTCTTTTTCTTGTTTCCGAGAATTTATCAACTAAAATACGAAATCCCACATGGAAATGTTTGGGGGTAGGAATTAGGATGTCATTTGTACTTGCATTGTCATGTTGGCACTATGTGGAGTCAAAGACCTGCTCACTTGAGGATACAGAATACTTACAGAAGCTGCAAATAGAGATCATGTCATTTTAAAAGGCGTACATAACCTACTCACGAGCCGTTTGATTCGTTTAATACTCTGGTTTGTTGATATTAACATGATTAATTTGTAAACTTGTCACGAAGATGGTCTGTTTGACCCTTTTGGTGATCAGTAACCTTCTTTTTTTTTTTCAAAATGCCGGCATTAAAACTAAAAGCAAGTATATTACACCTTTTCATATTCTCAAATGAAATATGATTTATTTATAAAGATTTTTAACAGGTTCAGTTTGCGATCCTGTAAATACAACGTAGTCAATCGTATAGGGAGGTTGAGTTTCCTGAGTCCAGCATGATTTGTGCTATATGCTTCCAGATTTACCACCCTAGTATCATCATATCTGATCCCAATCTCCTAGCTTCGTGTTATGCTGGGTCAGGTTTGGTTGTAGTGTGAAGATTTACCACCCAAAGGGAGAAGGGACGTTGTCCGAGGACTGGCTTTCCCATGATTACATAATTTCTCTTGTTTGTCAAAAATATGTGGTTGCTGGATTATATACTTCCATTCCTAAATTACTTTTATCACCTCACGGTTTTTGGCCCTAGGATATACGGAGGAGAAAACAACAAGGAGGGATTCAGAAGGGAGATGCAGATATAAATCTTTCATCCTTGGAAATGGAGTTAAGTATTTTATTTCATATATTTACCATTTGAGAATATAATTTTCTCATCTAAGGTTTAGTCCTGTGTGCATATTTCAGGTCACTAAGTTGAAACAAGCTCCTCCAGTTCCAATTGATATTTTCGTTGCTGAGAAAACTAGAGTTCTGGTAATAACTGGTCCAAATACTGGAGGCAAAACAATTTGTTTAAAGACAATTGGATTAGCTGCTATGATGGCAAAATCAGGTCGACTTTAGTATTTTCTTTAATGTACTGCTTCCTATGCTCAAATGCCCTTATCTATTTTTTAAAAATACGTTACAAGTCACAGCTAAATTAAGAGTTCATTCCCATGAATATTAATATTTGTTATGCAAGGCATTTCCGTTTTATGCATCATGTGGTTGTTGTGAAAACCTGTATATGTCTGTATGTAAATAATGAGAAAATAATTACATGAAGTTGTCCACTTCAAAGAAATGGGAGGAACTGATGTATTAGAATTTGAAAGAGACGCTCAATCCAACGATATGCAAAGCCTGCTTTGATGTGTATTTTTACTGTCATTTGTAATAGTTATGATGGAACTCTTATCCAGATTTGTACAGACCCAATGATATGTCTCTACCATATGACCTTGGTAAAAGAGGGACCAGGTAGACGACCAGGCTACATATATTGGATATGTTCTGCTTGTGTCTTTCTAGATATTTCAGAACTTTTATGCCTGTACTTCTTAATTATTTATCTCCATTGCAGGTATTTATGCATTAGCTTCTGAACCTGTAAAGATCCCTTGGTTTGATTCTGTTTTTGCTGATATTGGTGATGAACAGTCCTTGTCTCAATCATTGTCTACTTTCTCTGGCCATTTGAAACAAATAAGTGTAAGTTGCTTGCAGTTTATTTGTTCGAGAAATTATCTGTCAATGAGATAGTGAAAAAAAGTATAGTTTGTGGTTTAACAAAAAATATGACCCTTAATAGAGCTAAATGGCGAAATAGAATTCATTGTAGCCAACCCCATAATAGTTTGTTTCGCTTTTATTAGAGCAGGACCCTTAAGAAAGCAAGGCTTCTTTGGTTAAAAGAGGTGGGGAAAGGTTTGGAATTACATGTACACTCTCTCCCACAGCATTGTAGATCACTTATAAACTTGGAAATATTTCATAGAATCAGAGGATAAGCATTCTGAAGCCACTGATTTGGAGTATACCATGAGTGGAAATTTCTGCTGGTTTAAAATAATCCCATATAAACATTGCATTTTTTTACTATATCTTTCAAATTAATTGAATTTATGGCTATGTTCTCTTTATCTTCCTGTATATTATTTCATGTTTTGATTGGTGGTTCTTTCCGTACATATTCACTGATAGCTGTTTGGATGTGAACTTACACAGTTTCTTTTGAAAATTTTGCAGGAGATTAAATCGCACTCAACAGATCGGTCATTGGTGCTATTAGATGAAGTATGTGTCGAGAAGAAATCTTTTGAGTTCATTTTATCGTCTATGATGTAATGTCACTCATAACCATGCTTTCTCTCAGTTGATGCTACGAAATTAATTCTAAGGTTACGAGTTTCATTCTCGCTTAATGAATAGACAAGAAAGTGATTGTGTTCAAGCTGGCAATATTTTTGGAGGCATATGTGATTCTTTGTCTCCCTCATATATGCTAGGTAGGTGCCGGGACAAATCCCCTAGAAGGAGCTGCACTTGGGATGTCTCTGCTGGAGTCTTTTGCNTGAAATAGAATTCATTGTAGCCAACCCCATAATAGTTTGTTTCGCTTTTATTAGAGCAGCACCCTTAAGAAAGCAAGGCTTCTTTGGTTAAAAGAGGTGGGGAAAGGTTTGGAATTACATGTACACTCTCTCCCACAGCAATGTAGATCACTTATAAACTTGGAAATATTTCATAGAATCAGAGGATAAGCATTCTGAAGCCACTGATTTGGAGTATACCATGAGTGGAAATTTCTGCTGGTTTAAAATAATCCCATATAAACTTTGCATTTTTTTACTATATCTTTCAAATTAATTGAATTTATGGCTATTTTCTCTTTATCTTCCTGTATATTATTTCATGTTTTGATTGGTGGTTCTTTCCGTACATATTCACTGATAGCTGTTTGGATGTGAACTTACACAGTTTCTTTTGAAAATTTTGCAGGAGATTAAATCGCACTCAACAGATCGGTCATTGGTGCTATTAGATGAAGTATGTGTCGAGAAGAAATCTTTTGAGTTCATTTTATCGTCTATGATGTAATGTCACACATAACCATGCTTTCTCTCAGTTGATGCTACGAAATTAATTCTAAGGTTACGAGTTTCATTCCCGCTTAATGAATAGACAAGAAAGTGATTGTGTTCAAGCTGGCAATATTTTTGGAGGCATATGTGATTCTTTGTCTCCCTCATATATGCTAGGTAGGTGCCGGGACAAATCCCCTAGAAGGAGCTGCACTTGGGATGTCTCTGCTGGAGTCTTTTGCCAAAGCTGGTGCTTTGTTGACAATTGCTACAACACATCATGGAGAACTCAAAACCCTAAAATACAGGTAGTCCATTTTGAAGTTGAAGATGGGCCATTTGCATTATCCAGAAGACTTCTTTTGAACTCATGGGTTCATGTTTCTGATAATATGTTGGCCACAGTGACGATGCATTTGAAAATGCCTGCATGGAGTTTGATGAAGTGAACTTGAGGCCAACTTATCGGATTCTCTGGGGAGTACCAGGTTTAATTTCTTAGGTTGATATCTTCTGAGTAATTTTTAGTAGATCATAAATGCAATTGATTATATATGTAAATGTGGAATTCCTCCAGTATGTTTCTCTGTATGAGTGCCACCTTTTTGGTCATCTTTGGATCATCTTTTTGCTTAGGCATCAATACAGTGTAGTGCCAGGTTCATTTAGTAGTAAATGTGTCTGTTCCATGTATAATATTCTGTCTTTTACTGAGTGAGAGAGAGAAGCATAAATCCTCGGTGCACTCTGTGTGCCTTCCTCTTTTCAGTTTTTGTTCTGGTAACCTCTTCTTTGCTCTCCATGCTAGTGGTGGCTGTATGCTGTTCTCCATTTCTGTTCATTTGTCTATGGGGTGCCGTATATGGGATAACACTGAAGCATACTACAAGAAGTTACACTTTTTACTGCAGGGAGGTCAAATGCAATCAACATAGCCGAAAGGCTAGGATTACCCAACATGGTCTTAAACANATGGGGTGCCGTATATGGGATAACACTGAAGCATACTACAAGAAGTTACACTTTTTACTGCAGGGCGGTCAAATGCAATCAACATAGCCGAAAGGCTAGGATTACCCAACATGGTCTTAAACAATGCTCGTGAACTGTATGGAGCAGCTAGTGCAGAGATTAACGAGGTAAACCCTCTGGAATCAGGACCTATTTTGGTTAGAAGTTTTCCTATGTTCCAGTTGGTTTATATCTCCAACCATTCTACATTAGGATGATTCATAGAGTAGTTTATTTTTGGGATAGATGACTTGTTATTGTTTTGAACCATGTGGTCTAAGGCCAAGTTTCTGAGAAAATATCACAAAGAAATAAGGTAATTAAATCCACTTATTCAGACCGAATGAAATATTCACGTATGTAAGGCGAACTAGCTTAATTTTTGGCCACTTAGGGGGTTTAACAGATCCTTGCTGTCATCTTCAGCTTTTATGCATGGGCATTGAATGATTATTGGTTATAGTACGGTGTGTCATCCAATGTCTTCTATTACACTGACATGGTTCTTGCTTTTTATAATTCACTGCAGGTTATAGTTGATATGGAGACGTTTAAACAGAATTTTCATGAGCATATCCATGAGTCGCAACGTTATCTGGCGTGAGAATTTTTTTCTTCCCTAAATATGCATATAGTATAAACTAAGAAGTGAAACCTCACGGTACCAGCAACTTTAGAACACTACAACCCAGAAATTATGATATAGACATTTATGACTATAACTGAGAAGGGCAGCGTATAGTATTTATATGACTCCATCTGATTTTGGTTGGATGGCTCAACAAGTACAGACGTGAGCCTGGTTACATGCCCAACTATTTTTGTTCCAATCCCTGTTATGTCCCATGGGATAATGTTGATATTTGTTCCTACATTATCCCATAGAACATAACAGGGTTTGGAATGAAAGTATGAGCTCTGTGTCACTGCCTGTATCAGTAATAATCAGAACTATGAGCTCTACTTTACTGCCAGTTAACATGCCTAACCATCAATTGATTTTCAATTGTAGAGGGTGTTGTAATTTATTCTTGTTTGTTTGTATTGCCTCCATACACATTTATTTACCATTACAGGCTTCTGAATCCTTACATTTCTTTGAAAAAACACCAGTGCTGGAGAATCCAATTTTATCCTTGTTCATTTGCTCGGTTTGAAGAATAAGCTTGGCCTCCATTCAAATTGCCTTACATTATTGCATCCAAAGTGCAAACCCTGTGTCTATCCNCAATGCTCGTGAACTGTATGGAGCAGCTAGTGCAGAGATTAACGAGGTAAACCCTCTGGAATCAGGACCTATTTTGGTTAGAAGTTTTCCTATGTTCCAGTTGGTTTATATCTCCAACCATTCTACATTAGGATGATTCATAGAGTAGTTTATTTTTGGGATAGATGACTTGTTATTGTTTTGAACCATGTGGTCTAAGGCCAAGTTTCTGAGAAAATATCACAAAGAAATAAGGTAATTAAATCCACTTATTCAGACCGAATGAAATATTCACGTATGTAAGGCGAACTAGCTTAATTTTTGGCCACTTAGGGGGTTTAACAGATCCTTGCTGTCATCTTCAGCTTTTATGCATGGGCATTGAATGATTATTGGTTATAGTACGGTGTGTCATCCAATGTCTTCTATTACACTGACATGGTTCTTGCTTTTTATAATTCACTGCAGGTTATAGTTGATATGGAGACGTTTAAACAGAATTTTCATGAGCATATCCATGAGTCGCAACGTTATCTGGCGTGAGAATTTTTTCTTCCCTAAATATGCATATAGTATAAACTAAGAAATGAAACCTCACGGTACCAGCAACTTTAGAACACTACAACCCAGAAATTATGATATAGACATTTATGACTATAACTGAGAAGGGCAGCGTATAGTATTTATATGACTCCATCTGATTTTGGTTGGATGGCTCAACAAGTACAGACGTGAGCCTGGTTACATGCCCAACTATTTTTGTTCCAATCCCTGTTATGTCCCATGGGATAATGTTGATATTTGTTCCTACATTATCCCATAGAACATAACAGGGTTTGGAATGAAAGTATGAGCTCTGTGTCACTGCCTGTATCAGTAATAATCAGAACTATGAGCTCTACTTTACTGCCAGTTAACATGCCTGACCATCAATTGATTTTCAATTGTAGAGGGTGTTGTAATTTATTCTTGTTTGTTTGTATTGCCTCCATACACATTTATTTACCATTACAGGCTTCTGAATCCTTACATTTCTTTGAAAAAACACCAGTGCTGGAGAATCCAATTTTATCCTTGTTCATTTGCTCGGTTTGAAGAATAAGCTTGGCCTCCATTCAAATTGCCTTACATTATTGCATCCAAAGTGCAAACCCTGTGTCTATCCAGCAATATATGTAGTCAAGATCATCCTTTTTTTGTTTATACAGTCTGCTGCCCGTATTTAGCCTTGGACTGGATGTCCATTAGCAATTTTCACGAAAAGTGGGCATTATGTAGAATCTAGATGACTTGATTTCAAATCCACTCCCTAATTATCTAAATGAGTCTTCAGATTTGCTTAACGTAGTGGGAAGAGATCTTGAAACTATAGTTTCTTGTGAACATATTTTAAATTGTTACCATTAAACTATGGTTCCACACATCATTGACATAGAGTTTGCCTGGTATGATTTCATTACCAGCTATGACTACCCAAGTAAATTCCTGCTCACAAAGTTTTTATATAAAAGAAGTATGGATAAAATAGACATCGATAGTGGGAATTTGATGCAGATTCAGATTATGTCTAACCTCTAACCATAAAGATAGCTGATGCAAACTAATCTAAATTCAGTCAGGAGGATAGTTTGTCTTACTTGTGCCAACCTTTTCTTTAGCAAAGACGTAAACAAATCGGGGTGATGCTATGATTTTCATTTACTTATAGACAAGTTTGGGAACAAAAATTAATTCCAAATCGATAGCCCTTAGATATCCTATCTGTTACGTAATTTTTGGTTTCAGGCTGTCAAGAGATCTTCATGAAAATCTTCTAGAAACCAGAAGGAAGGTCATGAAACATGGAATTGATCAAAGATACAGGAAGATGAGAGAGATATCCGAGGCAGTAGCAATAGCACGTTCTATCCTTCACAAGAAACTCCGACAGCTTCGTGCCTCTGCCACTCAGCCTCTCCAGCTTAATACAGCAGATAACAGCCAGGATGCATCGGCATTTAACTGTCTGCATACTACAGCAGNGCATGGAATTGATCAAAGATACAGGAAGATGAGAGAGATATCCGAGGCAGCAGCAATAGCACGTTCTATCCTTCACAAGAAACTCCGACAGCTTCGTGCCTCTGCCACTCAGCCTCTCCAGCTTAATACAGCAGATAACAGCCAGGATGCATCGGCATTTAACTGTCTGCATACTACAGCAGATATTACTGAAAATTCTATAGCAACTCAGAGTCCATACGCCAACAATATTGAGCAACCACCATCAGGTATCATCATCATCCATCACTGATAAGATTTCATGTTGCAGTCATCCTCGCTAGCTGCTGATTAGAGTTTGCAGCATATATAACTATGCTATATCCTTTCTGAAAACTGTTTTTTCTGTACTTNCCATACACCAACAATATTGAGCAACCACCATCAGGTATCATCATCATCCATCACTGATAAGATTTCATGTTGCAGTCATCCCCGCTTGCTGCTGATTAGCGTTTGCAGCATATATAACTATGCTATATCCTTTCTGAAAACTGTTTTTTCTGTACTTACAATCATCAAAAGGCTTTTAATTGACGTAAGATGATTCCTCACATATGCACTTTACAGAGAAGAGGGCTGAACTTCCAAAGATTGGAGACGTGGTGCATGTATCTTCTCTTAACAAGAAAGCAACAGTCTTAAAAGTGGAGCCATCTAAAGAAGAAATTGTAGTTCAAGCTGGTAACATGAAAATGAAGTTGAAACTAGCGGATGTTGTAACCTGACAGGTAAGAATGCATTTGCCTACCTGGATGTGTAACCATGACATGCTTTGTTGCCATCCCAATTTCTGCTTATTCCCCGAGCAGTAATTTGTGGTCCCAATCTTGCTCCCCACAATCAGCATGCCACCAATTGGAATTTGACCGAGTAAGACCTTGTACATAGTCGTATAACGAGTTACTTGTAGATATTGACCTTATAAGGGTGAATAATCGTATTTGCAGTCTAATTCTGAACTTCGTATAGTATTTAAGTACATAGTTGTTCCCATGAATTCAGACTGTGTGCAATATAGTCACAGCGGAAGATGTATACCTTACAGTTCTTACATTTGCAACCTCTGACCCTGCAATACCCTGACTCCAGAAATAGTTTTTGAAGACACTGTTGTATTCATTCTCATTGCAGTTTCTTTATAAACAAGAAAAAACTCTCCTCGTCCGAACTTAGATTCTCATCTTCATATGATTGTCTACAGTAATTAGGCACTGATCCTTCTTGAGGTGATGGTAAGATAAATGATTGTCTACAGTAAGTTGGTGCTCTTTAATTTCCGACCCTTAGTTCGCCAAATTCCACCTCAGTCGATTATTGTCATCGGCTAAAACTGGCCACCAAAAGTTCTTTCTCTGTTCTTCCAGGTATGACCGAATTTTATATGTTGTACATGCTCATATATCGAGTATTGATTCTGTGTCTAGTTCCCAATTCTAGTTAAGACAATTGTTATTTATTTCTGTAGATATTGGATGAAGAATTAAAGATTGTTGACAATAATATTACAAACCAAGTTCATCTTGCACCATTTACAATATTGTTCGTTTGCAGCATAGTTTTTACAACGTAGTTTGCAATACATAAAGATAACCCTACAGCGATGGACCGAAAACAGGAATTCATTGTTGCGGACGGCCGATAATTCGGTATATTTCATTTCACTTTTACTTATTTATAATTCAAAATTTGTTCATCTTATCATTGGCTCTTCATTTAGTTTTTGTTTTTTAATCCTATTGTTTGGTCAATCTAAAATATAAATGACAATAAATCTTACATTTATTTTGAACATGATGTTTTCTTGAATCAGGGGCGGAGCCAAGGATTATACGTAGTGGGGACAATTAAAATATGTCATGATTTAAATCATAATATTATTATTATTTATAATTTATTCAAAATTAATAATTTATTTTGTCACAATCGAACTCAATATTAAATTATTGTGTTTTTAACAAACAATTTGTTGGGATAATAAATATTGAAAAGACATTGAAGAAATTTAATAGAATTGTTATTAAAATCAATTAAACCAAACTTAGATATGCAAATAATTTAATCTTTCAAATGCAAATTGCTAAAGTCCAGTTAATTGAAATATTTTAATCTAAAATGTAATTCATAATAGTTAATTCCAAATATAGGAATTCAATTAATTAGAAAAAAATTATTCCAAACAATTTGAAAATTTTATTTCATCACATAATAGACAAACTTAATTTTTAAGCAATCAATCAAAATTATTTTAATTGATCACAAGCAAATTTTAAAATTTAAATATAAAAATTTAATTTCAAATGAAACTCATAGTAACCATAACAAATTAAAAAAATGAGGCCTTTCATATAAAATTTATCCCCAACAATAATAATTAAAACATTTCTTGTACCGAATCACAAACATACAGTGCGTGATGACTAATTATCATCTTCAACTTATATTAAAACTACTCATAATTGTTTTTTAAGTTTTTTTAGTGGGGACAAATTTTAAATTATTTTAAAATTTCAATTAAACTCCAAAATTTTTCAAAATTTCAGTGGAGACAATTGGCCTTATGCTAGATTCACCTGTGGTTTGAAGTGTAATGTGAGAAATTTTATCTTTGAATGTATAAATCTTTTGAGGTACAAATGAGATTCTCCTATCAAATTGTATGCTATAAAATTTATTTATAATTTCGCATAATGTCTCTTTCAACCCTTTAAACCCTGACCTATGGGTCTAGGATTTTTTTTGAAGGCATAACAAAAGGCAGCACTAGCTTATAGATGGCTGGGCTTTTGCGATTTGGCAGTCTTGCACCCAAGACCAAGAACCTGGTTGTTGCTGGAGGCTTGACAACGTTTGTTTTTGGGGTATACTTCTATACCATGAGAGCTGTTGGAGGTACAGATGAACTTCAGATAGCCATCGATAAGTTTGAAGAGCAGAAAAGCAAGAATTGAGGCCAAAGCAAGCTTGGCGCCGAAGGCCGGACCAAAATTCCATATGACTATGTAATTAGGCATGAGTGTGTTGCTTGTGTTTGAATCCCACTTCTCAGTCTCACAAGTTTTTTAGAAATTCTAGGACCTGTTTGGTTTGATTTTCAAAAACAGTTTTTTATTCTCAAAACTCTAAAAACAAGAATAGCTTCCATGAACATACCTACCATTGCGAATGAGGATAGAAGTAATGTAACTACAGAGGTAAAACTTACTACTAATAAGACTTTGTGGTGAAAAAAAAAATGGGTTAGGATTTAAGTCCATAGTCACCAAAGTACAATGAGGTCGATTGCATACTTTAAAGTTTAATTCAATATAGAGGATCCGAATAGATTAAAGTATTTTTTAGGGTTAATTATAAAATGTCTCCTTCAAATTTAGGACACATTTAATCAACTCTATCTGATTTTAATTTTAACAATAAATCCTCTCAAAGTTTGTATATTTGTAAATTAAGGGTAGATGTTAATTTTGACAATAAAAAATAATAGCAAATATTTATTTACAAATCACATGATTTCAAATTTTACGTAGAGACAATATCACCTTTCACATCATTCTGTATTGGGAAGAAGAATGAGGAGTTTTTTGACATGAGGATAAAATTTTGAATTCGGGGTAGTTATTTATTTTCAATAAATACGAGATCATATTACTTAATTTCTATTATTTTTCATTGTCTAAACTAATAATTTGAGTTAATTAAAAATTGTACAAACTTTAAGGGGGTAATTTGTTGAAATTCAAACCAAAGTGAGTTGATTGCAACTTGATCCAAATTTGAAGGGACATTTTGTAATTAACCCTATTTTTTATGGTTTGTGATATATAATGTGTGTAAATTTTATATTTTATTTTTTCATGTCAAAAAATTGTGATTATGGTTATTCAATGAAGTGCTAATTCGATTATATTCTAATTTTACCCTTATTTTTTAGTTATTAAATCTTTTTTATTATTTCTGATATGTCACAACTCTGGCGGCACACTTTGAGTGGGAGCGTTTCAATTTCTATTTGTTCCCCTGCTCGACAATGGTAATGTGCTTTCTTCCTCACAACAACTCCTATTTCTTATTTTAATTGAGGTAATATTTATATATTGTAGATTATAATAATAAATTGTCTGTGTGGTTTTGGTTAATCTATTAATTTAGATTGGATTTGTGGTTTTAGTGGTTATGTTTGAATAGATAATGACACTAAAGTAGAATTTATCGAATAACTTTATTGTTGTAGTTTATATAACAAGTGGCAATATTACGGACTTGAAGAGCTTGACGTGAAAATATGGATTTGAATTTTTTTTGCCCTTTGTTTTTGCTTTCGCTCTTTAGAAATTTCATAGATTTTATTTATTTATTTATTTAGAATGGGTCAATTGTCATGCCATTTTGATATGAGTTAATTTACTTATTTTTTTTAGAAATAATGTTGAGTTTTTTTTTAAAAAAGCTACTGTTGCAAACACAGATGCTTAATTTTTGTTTAGTTAGTAGACTTTACCTCAATCGCAATTCTAAATACACAAAACATTAGAGTTTTAGTCGTGAAAATTTTATTCATCAAGAATACATAGGGTCCAAAGCCCTCTGTTGCATTTCATAATGACAATTCTAAAAATTAATTGCAATTGATTATTTTATAAAACCAGCAAGTAGGTAATATACAATTTAAAACATAAGAAATCGGGGTATATATGAATAGAATATGATTAATATTATATCCCCAATGCCTTGTGTCAATATTTGTTAAGAGAATAATAAAATTAGAACAAAATATAGCATTTATGAAATTTGGGACTTTATTGAAATAAATTATCAAGAGTATAATTTCATTGGTATAAAACAAAAATTATAAGACTAAATGTAAATTTGTGAGGAAAAATAATATTTATTAGTAATTTTCTCTTTTTTTTTCTTGACATTAAATATTGATTTTTTTTTATAATAAAACATAAATATGTTTAATTGTGCCCACCATATTATTTATTATGTTTTTGTGATATCAATAAGGATAGATCTCTACTTACATGATTATTAATTTTTAAGTAATTATATTCATTATTTTTAAATAAAGTTGTATATAAAAAAACTAATGAGCTAACCTGTCTAATAAGCTTACGGGTTAAGCTGCGAATAGCATATCCCTATCCGAAACCCGGTCCGACACACATGATAATTCACTTGGGTGAAATCTTGGGCCTACAATATTAAGGCCCTGCCAAAACCAAATTCAGTGGCTTAACCCGGCCTGGCCCATAGACACCCCTACTACTGTTGAGCCAGCCATGTTGATTCTCTCAACAGTATGGTGTTACCCTCCTTTAGCCTGATCCAAAAATAGTCTCCAGATTACAAATAACATAGTTGCTTTGAAATTGTTATCCAAAATATATGTATATAATTAGAATTAATCACTAATTATTGTATCAAACTCTAAATCACTAAGTATACTTTTATATGTGAACTAATTTAATAAAAAAAGAATGTCAAAACATAAATAATAATACACTTACAGTGACGCAGAACTTCACAAATAAAATTCATAAAATCATAAAATAATAATAATCCAAGTCATATGTAGTCACAATTTTCGTAAAATAGATTTGCTCTCTCTCGGTGCTTGAGGTTGATAAATAAATGTCTCCTAAGATAAAACAAATTTCATACTTAAAAATGCAGTACTGTAATTTTCAAGACTCTAGCGCACACAATTCTTTGTTTACACTTGAACAGAACAAAAAAGACTAATACAATAATATGCACAAAGAGAGAAAAAAAACTCTAAATAGTAAATTTAGAATTGAGATTATGGAGAGAAGTAGAATAAGAGATCAATTCTAATAATAAGTAAAAATTATTCAATGTTGTAATTTAGGAGTGTAAAACATCACCTATTTATAGACTCACCAATGACTTTTCATAAAAAAATGCAACTATATATAATGATGTCTCTTGATTCAAAAGGTGTCAATAATGATGTTACGAGATGATACAACTATTTGAAATGACATCTTTTAGTCAAAAAGATACCAATGATGATTTTATGAAAAATTGTAACTATCTATAAGAGTGTTTTTTAACCAAAAAAATGTTAATTGCAGCTTTATGAAAGAATGAAATTATTTAGATTGGTGTTTTTAAACAACAGTCACTAATTTTGAACTAATAGCCTTTCGTGTCGTCTGTATTTCACACCTTTCCAATTTCTCCCAAAAGTCACAAAAATATTTTAACAATTTTTCATTCAATACTTAATAATTTTAAATAAATAAATATCAAAATATTTATTTAAAAACTATTAATTCCAACAATAAATCAATCAACAACAAATGAAGACATAAAAGGAAAAGGGGGTCGTAGGCAGGTAAAGATGGGAAAGAGATAGTCAGAATGTTTTTCCCATATTTTCGTTCTGGGTCTTGACTTTAATGATACACAAACCACCAATATCAGAAGATGAGCAACATTTACAGAGAGATATTACGAATTGCATGATTATTCCAACAGAACTTGTCACCCACCAAAACTAGAATAGCTGAAAATAAACCACCAAACATGTATATACTCAGTGCTCCAAAATTTTAATCTTTTCTAAGCAGTTCTGCATTTGCTGGTTAACATCCTCTGTTATGCGGGCTCCAGCCACAAGCTTGTACTGCTCAAATTTTAGCCTGTCGCACTTCAAAGCCGCATTCCTACAGGCCTTGATACTTCCTAACACAAGGAAATTAGAAATCACAAAACTAGCACTAAAACACTCAGTCAGATATGGAGGTAAGCACACACTGTTGTATGAGATGGCTCAATTCTTTGGTAAACAAGTTACATCCATATTTGAATTTTGAAATAGAACACGATGGAAACACGAGGTAAACTCCATACTAGATTTCAGGAATATAGATTTTGTTCATTTTTTTTTTTGTCAAAAAGTCAACTTTCTTGTCTACCCAAAAAAAAAACACTTTCTTTTTTATATATGCCATTACTTTCCAGATTTCAGTTGTGTAAGATCAAACAGAAAAAAATACTAACCAACATTTATGGAATCCATTGTTATGAGTGAACAGGATCCTTTTTCTTTCCTTTTATTGGAAGGCAAGGTGAATCAAATTCAATTCCAGCTATCATAGAGCATTCAAAAATATTCCTGAATCAGAAGAAATAAGACAGACAACCTATGTCCTATAAGATAGACATTAGCACATCCAAACACTTACATATCGCCACTGTTGTCTCAACTGATGAAAAACAGAACACTTGGTAGGAAAACTTCAATTGCAGAGCAAAGCAACAAGATCTCACAATAATCAGGCAGTTTATGTATGTAATCCACACTTTTACATGAAAATGCTGTCCCTCAAATTCTAAAATATGAGGGGAAATTTTTAAACCACAAGTTATTCTTCAGACTAGGAGAAATAGAAACCAGCATCCTGAAAATACTCAACAGGTGTCTTAGGCTAATCAACCCCTTTATTACCATCCAAAAAGAAACAACCCTTCTGCTTTTTTTCCCAGAGACACATTTAAAAAATTAGGGTATCAACATCGTCTATATCTCATTTGAATCACTCAATGGAAAAACAATTGCAACATGTCCCTAATTCTGCAGCAGTTTGACTCACCTGTTAGGTCCAGCAAGTTAAAAGTCACTGGGCAATTTCCTATTCTCCTGACCATAGTAATTGCAGACCAAACTTTCTGGTACTCCTCCCTCGAGATTCTAATGATGCATAATTTTGTGATAGGATTCACATACTTGACTGCACAAAAATGTAGGTTTGAAAATAATAAACAAAAGAGCATGTCAAAAGGCAAAATTACACCTATTGTTGAGGGAAATTTATGCTTAACAGAAGAAGAGATAAGATTCAGGTAGCAAGTTATGCTGACCATGAAACGACCCAAGTGATGAGGCTAGACCACACTCCCCAAAGTTGACAAGGATGCTGTCTTTGATTGCTTTTGAAACATTGAACTGGGTAATAATAATAGGATCATCCAATGCAAAATCTCTATTCGGATCCAAAAACACTTCCATTACCATGTATCTATTTTTGAATCCCACCATGATTTTTCACCTTGTGAACAAGATCACATGTTAGATTAAGATAGGAAGCATGAAAGAGGCTGTTTGAGAAAATCATATACAATGGTGAGAATATGCAATGAAATTTGCTAAATCCACAAAAGAGAGCAAAAGCTTAACCCTTTAGAAGGATGGGATCAAATAGCGAAAGAAGATTGTGGGACAACTTAGAAAAAAATACATAATAACTCAAAGCCAGGCACTTAGTTTAAAGGGATGGATATCAAGAATTGAAGTTTCCCCTGGGCAGTCGCAAGACCCAAGGATTTATTCAGGAGCCTAGGCAATTTAATCTTGGTTTAGCCGATACCAAAAAATAAATAAAAAATTATGAAGTTCTCTAAATACTTGCTGTAACTTTAACAGTATTTGACACACCCAAAAATCAAAATAACCTAATTTAAGCTCATCCTGTTGTAACATGAAGCCCTCAGATTCTGCTTAAACAAACTCAATACTGGAAAATAAAACAAAAACAACACTTATAGTCTGATAGAGAGAGAGAGAATGAGCATAACAACATAGACCTACATAAGAAACAACAATTCTATATTATACATTGATGGATGCAATTACATGCTGCTCTGACAATCTGCAATGAGCATCGAACGTAGCAACTCAATCTCTATTCCTGATGTGACCGGAGAGACTAAAAGCTGAGTGAGAAAGGTCAATCCATTGTGTGCTGAAGTTAAACCCTAAAATATGACTCTCTCTCTCTCTTTATATATATACTTTATATATATATATATATATATATATATATATATATATATGTATAAAAGATGTTAACCGGCCGGTTTGGCTCATCGGTAGAGAACCAGAGGCAGAGGTGGCTTGTGGGTCAGGACTAGGGATGTCAGTGGACCGAAGTGGGGGCGGGGGTGTAGTCTCCATCCCCGTATCTGCTTAAAAATGCTCCATCTATCCCCGATCCACCCCCATTAACAGGAGCATAATTTTCATCCCCATCCCTGTCCGCGGATAAATTTTTAATCCCCGTCTTCGCCCCCGCCCCCGCCCCTTCCATACAATTGATCTATGCCTATCTCACTAAGAGTCATTGGAGTTGAGTTGATAGATTAATCTTCATCAATAGAGATTGGAAGTTGGTTGTTTTCACCCGGTGTTGCAAAAATTTCAGAAGTTGCAATATTATTTCTCACTTTTTCTCCTTCCATTGCTTGAAATCTTCAACATGGAATAATCAACTTTCACATAATACAACAGAACATAGACTGGTGCTCACTGCTCACATATAGTTAGGACTTACAGGCACACAAAACCCATTCTCAGGATTCATGGACAGATGTATACAAATATAATCAAAATGAAACAATTCTAACAGTAAAAAACCTTTAGCAATTGCTTAAAACCCATGGCACATAATATTCCTACTTGCTGGCCAACAATTTTCTATAAAGGCTTACCAACATATTATTTTGGAAAATACGTGGACTTTAAAAACAAATGATTGAGATTCAATAGAACTATCAGATTTAAAAACAAATGATTGAGCCCAATAAAACTATCAAACTATAAAGGAAAGAATACAAATCTATATGTATTTATCTACTTTTTCCAAAATTTGAACACTCAAGTTCATTGTATCATCATTTCACCAGACTATTATGACTGGTAATTCTCTTAAGACTTGAAAAAAATTCTATGCCCACTTGAGCCCACAAACTCCTTAAAGTAATGAAGAGTCCCGGGAAATTTGAAAACAAATGTATGCTGCAAAGTGTTTTCTTTTTGCCAAATATTCGATGTACCAAATGTAAAAATAGGAAGGAAAACAAATAGTGGCCAGCACCTAGTTCGAAAGTTTTTTCAGTTTTGTACGAAAAAGCTGCCTCAATCTCAAATCCATTTATGCCAAAATCCCCCAATTAACACCATTAGAGATAAGAAAACATACATATTGCAATTAAATCTCGGAAAAATTTCATCTAAGAATCAGTTCCTTTACAACAATTAACAGTCCAGACGTGGCACATCCAGACATAAACGTATCTAAAGATACACACTCAACGTATATAGAGTTAAACCCTAAATCATCTCATACAATAAACAAGACCTCCACTTTATAGATCATTGAAAATTAAGAACATATAGATTCACAAACACCAATCTTTGAAACACATTTACACAAAACCGAAGATTAATATATGGATCTATTCTAAAGAACTGAGATATACACCAATGGGATACGAATTCAAGAGCTTGAGAGCTCTAATCCGATTATCTCAATAGACCAAGTAATTTCCTGAAAATCTAAGCAAGATATCGGGAAAAAAAAGGCAAAAGAAAAGTAAAAGTTGTTGATGCAATTGTACCTGGTAATAGAATGCGTCAGATCGATGAATCACACAATGAAAAAAAGCGGAGAGAGAGAAGCTAAAAACTGCCAATAGTCGCTTTGAGAGGAAGAAACTGTGGAGAGATAGAGAGTTGATTACGTTGCTATGAAGATTTGCTTTCAGCTAGGTGATATATTACCACGACGTGAATTAGCCGCTGGTGGAGACGATGGAGAGAGAGAGACAGATCGTAGGAGAGGAGAGGAGGGCCTGGTCCCCGGACCCTGGAAGCCGAGGCTGGCTGATAGAGGGTAGGAGTAAGTAAGGGCTTCGACATATATTTAATTATATATATATATATATAAAAGTATTTTTCAATTTAAATCTCAAAAAATAAATAAAATAATTTTTATTATTCGCAATTGAAATCGTTTTAAATTTTACTTTGAAATTAATTTAATAGTTAATATTAATACCCTAAATTTAATAAAAAAAAAATAGGTCTCTAAGAGTGTGTTTGAATTGATTTTTTAAAAATACTTCTATAAATTATTATTCATAAATATTTTTAAAAAAATAGTGTTTGAAACCGTCTCACCACTACCTCTATCACCACCACCACCATCACAACCTCCAATCGCTGCCACAAACCCCACTGCCACTATCGCCGCCACCACTGTCGTCGCCTCCCACCATCATCATCGTCGTCCTCGTCGCCCTTGTCACTATCGCTGCCACTACCACCATCATCGTCGTCGTCCTCGCCACCATGGTCATTATCACCTACCATAATCATCACCATCTCCTCCCACTACCATTGTCGCCCACCACCTCTCACCCCTACTACAAAATCAATGTTTAAATTCTTTTAACTCTTATTTATCTTTGTGATTTGATTTTGGATATAAATACAAATATGTTTATTGTTTATCATTTTTTATTATTTTATGCCTTCAGCCACGGATAATAACTAGTATATATATATAACGGGTATATCGGGGGCGGAGTAAGTGTGAGTCCATCTTCACCTTCATCCTAGTGCGAGTTTATACGGATATTCCTGTATACGCCTACTGTTCAATACATATAGTCCATCCCTAGTCCAAACATAATGAGTTTGAATGAATACCCAATTTTCCCCGGTCCTGTGTCATCCCTGACAACAACAAATAAACCCTAAAATGACCCACCAACCAACTCAAAACTTGGTTACAAAAGGTCATGGACCCTCAATATAAAATAGGTGTTCCTTTTCTTCTGTTTCAAGTGTTATACATAAGTTTCTTTATCCATCAACTAGGATTAGCCAGGGTTCAATGCAAACCTGTCTGGCCTCTCCTACCACTAACAGTTAGGGATGTCAATTGACCGAAACAGGGGGCGAGGAGTATAGTTTTCATTCCTGTACCCGGTTCAAAAAACTCCATTCATCCCCCGTCCACTCCCATTAACAGGTATAATTTTTATTTCCATCTCCGTCCGCGGGTAAATTTCTAATCCCCATCCCCGTCCCCGCTTCTCCCGTACCCGTCTAAGCTCAAGTCCAATTAGCATAATCCAAAATTTTAAATAGATTCAATATTTTAAATAATTCAACAAAATTCTAAATAATCTAACAAAACATAATGTAGATAGTAAAATGTAAAAGTCAAAACAATATAGTATTCTATTTAAAGTTTCATTGGACCACAAAAAAAGAGAAACGGAACTATTAGNGTCAAAACAATATAGTATTCTATTTAAAGTTTCATTGGACCACAAAAAAAGAGAAACGGAACTATTAGAGAGAAAGAAAGAAAAGAAAAATAAAATTGAACTAAGAAAATCATAGCACTACACTTGAAATTTTCTAGAAGAATTTTTGTTATTATAATTTATATTACAACCATAAAGTGTTAGAAGATGAAAACTTAAAATTTCGCTAATTCAATAATTCTTTCCATTTCTTAGTTCACTCTAGCAGAAAAAACTCATTAATCTCCATTCACAATATTTTTATCCACGATGAAATACAAAATTATCTTACTTTCTCTTATCTGTTTTTAGAACATGTTCAATCCAAACTCCTAACAGTTTCAATCAGTGAGCACAAATAGAAAAAAAAAACAATTAGAGAAAAAAGTTGATAAGATTACCGCATAATAATGTTACTTGTTAGTTTGATTATCATATTTCTACATTGGTAGTTACAGTAAATATGTTTAATTAAGGTTTGAGAATATATATATATATATATATATAACAGGTAGCTGGGGCAGGGGCGGGGATAAGGGTAAGTTCATCCCCGCCTTCATCTTTGTACAGATATATGCGTATTTTCGTATACGTCCACTATCTAATATGTATAGTCCATCTCGATCCAAACAAGACGAGTTTGAACGAATACCCGTTTTTTTCCGGTCTACTATCATCCCTAGTCAGGACTCAGTATTTGTTACTCCAAGCCCCCAAAAGATTTTGAGCGATGAATAGAGGCCGGCCCATTGAGGCCCAAACAAACACCTATGGCCCAATATACATAAATCATAGGTGCTTAGGGAGACCGATACTTCTCTAAAAACTTAATAAGATAAAAGTACAATTTTTAAAATTATTAGAATAAAAGTCTATTTGCTAAAAAAAAGTAATAAAAGTCTTTTTACCTCTACCATAAATAGTGCATACCTAATTGAATGTAAGACTTTCGAGATTAGAATGTGAAACTTTTAAGTATATATATAATAATAATATTAAATAGTAAGACGCTAAAAAAAAAAATAGTAACATCAAACAGTAACACGCTCAATAAAAAAATAATAACATCAAACAGTAACACATTCAATAAAAAATTCATGTATAGAGTAAATTAATGTCGTATTAAGTTCTACATTATGTACATACCATGAAAAATTAATCAAATTTATATTTTAATTAATTTTGTGTCAATTCATTTAATAAATAAATTTATTTACCAAATTCATTAATCCAAATTCTATACTTGTCTTTTTTTTTATATATATATTTTTTAGGTAAATAAAAATTTATACTTGTTGATTTTAGGCTAAGTTGTGCCTTGTGAACCTTTGTAAACACATGTCAATCATCAAAATGGTCCAAAGTCAAACCCCCTTGTCTTATTAGAGCAATTTCAAGGGGAGTTGTTATTTTTGGGGTGTCAAATATTATTTTGTAATCTTGAACAGTGTTTTGGCACCCTTAATTTTTAAATTTGCTCCAATAATAGGTGCCAAAATGGGATGTCATTTTAATATTTTTAGTATTTTCAATTCCAAGTTCAATTTCAAGTTGTATTTTTAATTCCAACTTCAATTTCAAGTTGTATTTTCAATACATAATTTTTTATAAATAATAACAATACAAAAAAATTCATGATGTAATATGACAATACAAAAAAATTAATGGTATAATATGATAATACAAAAAAATTTAATAATGTAATATGAAAAAAAATTTAGGGTACAAAGTATCATTTGTTCTAAAATAAATAATAGTCTGGAACGATTAAAGGTAAACCCTTCATTTTCCCTTTTTCCTTTCCCAACTATTCAGACTCTGCCCCCTTCCCCTGTGATTCCGTTTCTAGACAAGCAATATCTAGGCAAGCAGTAGACACCAACGATTTTCAGACAAGCCTCCTTTCCTTTTTTTTTTTTTTTGTATTTTCAATCATTTTTTTGTAACCTTTACTTTCTCTCTCCAGAGTTTGTAATTTTGTCACCTCAAGTCCATAAGTATCATTTTATAACCCTTAATACCACCCCCTTAAAATGAAGATTTTTGATTTTAGAGTGATATTTTGATAATTAGGGATTTGCCACCCTTCATGGCACCTTGTCGGAGTTGCTCTTAGTCTTCTATTGAATTTTGGAAAGATGGAGCCCAAAGAGTGATAAGGCACGTGGCAGTGAATGCATCTCTCTCTCACTCGTTTTGTTTTTTGGTAATATTACGATAAAAAGCATCTGAATGGGTTTAATAACAGATCCACGACTGACCCAAAAAAAACAGATCCACGCGGTCTCGTTCCTTCCTTCAACTTCGGTCTTGCAGATTAGGAGACTTTTTATGGGTGTGGTGTGGTGAGTCTGTCGTAAGCATCTGAATGGGTTCATTTCATCGAAATTTCGCATACATTTCATCTGCATTTTCTCCAACGTCTACATGTTAATCGGATCACCTTAACGTCTGTCTATAAATACCCAAACTCAGTTTCCCTCTTCTCTTGCCATTTTTTTTGCTTCAGACTAGGAGCTTCGGCTAGGGAGGGTGGGAGTTAGAGAGAGATAAAGAGCTGGGTCGTCTTTTTTGGTTGCTGGGTGAGTTTTGCTTGGCTCTAGCTCCCATCTATCTCTTTTTAAGGTTTTTTCTGTATGAGTGTGGATTGAGACATGGATGTCAGATATTTTCTTGGTTGGATCTGTTTTTTTTTTCTCTATCATTTTGTTTGTATAACTATGTTTTGTATCTTGACTTTTGTTTTATTTCGTCATATAATGAATGCTGTGGTGGTTGCTGGAGTATTTTCTGTATGAGATAATGTGGTTGACTTTTTATCATTCTCAAGCTTCTAGGGTTTTGGTTGCTGTTCTTCAATGTTCTTGGTTGTTAAAAGTGTTTAAAAGATTATACTGAAGGAGGAAGTGTATGGTGTGGATAAACTGCCCCATGTCTTGTTTTTTTTCCTTTGCAAACGATAATTAAATGGCATGCTGAAAGAGTGTATGTAACAACAAAAAGACCAATACCTAGGAAATACGAAAACAAAACAAGAAAAATTCAAAGAACTATCTTCAGTAATGCAAACTTAACTCAATTCAGTAAAATCTTGTCCGATCTTATATTGGCTTCTCATACGATGGACTGTTTCCTACTAAATTTTCACTTAAATAATACCTTTATTATCTCCTACGATTTTTGAAGGTGTGAAACGGTACAGAAATCAAATGGCCATCACTATCTGTTTAGGCTGGTTCTATGTGCACTGTATCATAGAGTGAGATAGATTGAGATGCTAATTGGGCTTACATACTTATACACATTAGGCTTCACATTTTAACTATGTCACTTAGATCTGCTAAGAAGGTCAACTATCATTGTCAAATATCACTATTATTAAGAAACCTTCTGGGAATCACTATTATTATTACAGTCATAAGTCCCCTTCCATCCAACTTAACAATTTCTTGTGTGGTGTTGGGACTGCAGAATATATAGGGCAAGGGCTCTGGAGTGTGGATTCCAAATAAAGGCTTAGAAATTTGCTGATTGACCGAAGTAATGGAGGTACTTGGCAAGTCTATGGTAGGCATAACGATGCCTGCTAACGTTATTTATCTGTCAAGTATTCTGGGCCAAGATGGGCCAAACCCTGTTCACAAATGCGATTGGAAATGTGAAATCGAACATGTGTGTGGGAATGTGTACCGCTGCAGACTAACAGGCTCCACACACATCTGTGACAAAAACTGTAACCAGAGAATTCTGTATGATAACCATAGCTCCCTTTGCAGAGTGAGCAGGCAGGTTTTCCCTCTAACTATGGATGAGGAACAGGCAGTGAAAGGTGTCCGGAGGAAGCTCGATGCCGAGAGTTCCCCCTCTGACAGCTGCGCTTATAAGCGCAGACGGGATGCACAGTTCCATCCCTCTCCTTTTGAGAGATCATTCTCTGTTGTTGGTCCAATCTACAGTCAAATTGGAGATAGCATGGATATGAGCTAGAAGATATAACTAATAACAGTCCTTTTTGTCTTTTTTAATTTCCTTTTTTCTTGCTGAACAAGTATGAATAAAGGAACTTGTTGTCGGACCTAAAAGGCAGATTTGATCATCCTGCCTATCTGTAGGGAGATCTATTATTTTGAATGTCATTAAATGGGTTGTAGCTCTTCCTAACTTCACTTTCTATAGGAAATTAGCAATGCTATATCACTGTTAACTTTATTATGAATATTGAGTTGCCCCCAGTACTACTTCAAAGCTAAAGCAATGAGAAGAAACAGGGTTCTTGTAGAAAGCTTTACTCAATATCTTCTTTTGATAACACAATTCTGGTTGTAGAAATGTGGTTAGTTTACATTGTTTCTTTCTTTTCTGTCACTTGCTGCTATCTGTTCTACGAATGCTCCATCTTTCTGTTCTATACATTGTCAATCTTCTTGTCCTATGACATGTTTTTACCTCACAATCTTTCATTTTGGATTTGTTCATTGTCCTTACTGCTCTAGGTGAAAGACATATGTATGACACAGTGCATGATTTAGTAACTTGCCTTCTTTACTGTTTGGCACGGTTCTTGCTCCATTTCTTTTGGATGCTTTTTATGACATGATGAATAATTGGAATATTTATGCTGTTGGCTCATGATGCTTCACAGGATTTGACCAGTTCAAATGAAGGAACCTTGCTTGTGTTCTGGTAGAAACTTGTTTAACTTTTCTGTTCCTCTACCTTCCAGTTGTATTCCAGATCGAAGAGAGGGAAATCAGTTTTTCCCTTTATACGTTGCATTATGTTTTGTGTATCTATGTTTTGATCTTATTGTCCTAATGTAGTGGTTGCTGAAGTTCTATATTATTTTGCAGGAGTCAAAGCATGTGCAAGTCAGGAGATTTCAAAATTGTTTATTTTAGAGAAACACTGATCATTTTGTGTTAGAAGTTTATTAAATGGATGAGATGGGTTTCTGAAAATTTTGTTCATCATTTACACTTTCAGGTGAATATTCTGCTATTTCATTGCGGTGTGGAATGCTGGTGTACTCAAAGAAGCTGATGAACTGGAAATAGAATTCCGGGATTAACTGCCGGTTGTTTCAGGCATTGGGATCCATTGCTGCAACTGAAGCCACCTTTTGAATAGAACTCCATGTCATCAATCTTGTTCTACTTTGGGATCCATCCCTGTGAGTGAAGCTGCCTTTTGGACTTTGGAGTGAACTTCATGACATCAGTGTTAGTCCACTTCCATGAAAAATGTATGTACGATGGATATGCATTATTTTTACTACCACGGGACCACATGTTAGTTATTTCCTAAGTAATGGAGTAGTTGGAGTGGAGTCCAACAACTTCCAACTTGTAACCCCTTCCAGAAGGAGGGCTTAAATTATAGTCCTGCTTGTAGGACAAATGGGATTTAAAATAGTCAAAACCTTACGAACTAGCTCTCTGTAATGGATGGGTAGGTGATAAGAAGTCATGGGTGGTGGTTGAAACTAGAGGGGGTGTAGAAGAAATTTTCCCATAGAGAAATTGTCTATATTTAAGAATTTGTCCGAGTGTTACCCGTATAATTGTAACGACAAATTTTGTGTATAAATTAATACAAACTAAACTCAAATTATAATAGTCAATTTAATTTAGTTATAGACAATGTTTTCTTAATTAATTTTTAATGTCTACACTAATATCCCCAAAAAAAATGGATAAAACAAAAATGGAGTGGGGAATGATGTATCCCTATAGGGGAGGGGGGACTTAAACGGGTTTGTATGGTATTTTTTTTTCTTATGGTTTGGATATTGTTTCTTTTTTCTTTTTTAATTTTTTGGGAAATATAACCAATTATACTTATATGTTCATACAAAGGAATTTTTTATTTTTTATTTTTTCCTTTTTGGTGGAAATTTCATTTATTTTTTTGATGATGTATTGTGTTGTGGGTGTAACCGATGACCCTTCTTTGACAGCTGTGTCAATAACTGAAAGGAGAAAAAAAATTAAAAAGAAAGAAATTAATTGGAATATTCATCATTATTAACTGGTATTTAAGGTATAGTGTAATTGTAATCTCTTAAGAACTAGAAGCTAGGGTGAGCTTGAGCGAGCTCATTTTTTTAAAAGAACCTAAAAAATTGTTCCAAGTTTTGTTTGCTTAAAAAATTAGTGGGCCCGAGTAGCTCGATTGTTTTTTATATAAATGAGTTTAAGTTCAAGCTCGAGTTAAGTCTTTTAGGGTCGTTTTTTAAACAAATTAAAAAAATTGTGAAAGTTCTCCTTGTCTAGAACTTGAGTCAAGCTTGAATCGAGTTTTATTTGAATTGAATCGAAATGGCTTGACTCAATTATTAGTCCTACTATAAGCTTGCAAGGTTACATTAAGAAATTGCCACAACGAGCAGCAATTGATGCTCCCTCTTGTCTCCATTCTTGCCATTGGTAGATTGATAGCAAATTAGAAATTAAAGGTAATTGTGTCTTTGACTGCGTCAGTTTCTCAAATTTACATCGTGATCTATTTGTTTTATCATATGTGCCTTGTCCAGTCCAGATTTGGGAGGTTTCTTTGTTTTGTGGGTTTGTCTGAAGCTGTTGATGTAGAGTATTCCTAGTACCTTGTAGGTGTTTTGTGTAATTGCCCAACTTTTCAAGTTCTAAATTAGAAAGGATTTGTATTACCGAATTGGAAAGGATTTGGATTACCACCTGGATTCATCAACCTACTCGACATATAATGATGGAGTCTTGCGTCTTCGGCATTGAAGAAGAGGAAATTAAAGGAGAAGCAGGGCACCGCACGGGGATAATGTACCTTCCGGAAGATGTTGTTGTGGATATACTGTCAAGATTGCCGGTGAAATCCTTGTTGCGTTTTGAATGTGTATCTAAGCAATGGCGTTCTTCGATTTCCGATCATCAGTTCGCCAAATTCCAGCTCAGTAGATCATTGTCATTGGTCAAAACTGGCCACCAAAAGTTCTTGCTCTATTCTTCCGGGTATGATAAGTTTTATTTGATGCACAACTCTGAGAATCCTTGTGAAAAGGCTGAAGACGATGATGTAGTCAACATTGAAAAGCTGGAGTTGCACTCTCTTCCCTTTGATTATGAAAACCCACCCAATACCTTCCGCTCTTGTGATGGTCTGTTACTTGTGGGTTGGTATGGTCAATTTCATAAATATTTTTTCTTGTGGAATGCATGTCTGAATACTTGCATTCAAGTCCAATGTCCTCTTGGATCAAGATTTACGATTCTTGAATTTGGATTTTGCTATGATCACTTTAGCAACGATTACAAGGTAGTCATTATGTTCATAAATTATGATGTGATTTGATCGTCGGAATTTAACAAACCCTTATATATTGTGTTTTCTGTCAAGAGCAATCGTCGGATTCGAAGAAGTTTCCTTATGAAAATTCGTTCATCCGCGATGGGGAGATGGTGAATGAAGCTCTCTGCATTGGATTGTAGGCGAAAAAAATAAAAACGTACCAACACGTTGGTTAATTTTATGTTTAGACATGATTCAGGACAAGTTCAAAGAGGTGCCATGTCCATACTTCAACCCACCTAAATCACTTCATTTGGCAGTTTTGCAGGAATCCGTCTGTGTCTTTGCATTTACATACGGGTTTACAGACCAGCTTGAAATATGGGGTGGGGGGAATCTTGGACTAAATTGTTTACCATCCCTGCCATGGAATCTAGATATATAACTCTTGTGTCGCCATTGTATTTTACGAGAAAGGGTGAAGTTAGGCGGCAAAGAATTAGTCATCTACAATCCTAATGACAATACACATAGGACCCTCGTGAATTTCAATCGCGGTTGCAGCTGGACAACATATGTGGACAGTCTAATCTCACCTTGGCCATTGAATTGAAAAGCGTGCAAGGAGGAGGATCAAAACGAGGGAGAAATTAAAGGAAAACTAGATTCAATTTTTGAACTATCTGTGGCCAATGTCTATTGGTGTCTTTTATTTTTTAGACTTTATGGTTGAGGAAGCTATTACCATTTATCAAGAGATTATGTCAAATGTTTTCAATTCAAACTTGAGTCGTCCATGTCGTTGAATGTGGTACTTTGTTGTTTGCATAAAACCAGAATTCTGATATTTATTTCTCTGTTTTTTCAGAAAGATACCCGGCCCGGCCATATGTTAATTTAAAAGGAAATTTATTGTTTTTCGTTTGTGGAAAATTTATTTATTTATTTTAATTTTTTGTGAGGATGTTATGGTGAGTGTAAACATTGTATGACCCTTCATCGACAAGCATGTGTCGATAAGTGGGAAAAAAAAACAAATTAATAAAACAAACACAAGATAATCTATCCGCTGTTTTTTTTCTCAAAATGCCTCCGTAACCATATAATTAACTGGAATACGCATCATTATAGATTCATTTTAAGGAAAAACAACCCATCAAACCCGAAAGAAGAGCATAATTCATATCGAAGACATTTCTGGTGGCCATCTTTACGCACAAACACTACACAATTCAAAATTTTAGGTAAAGAAGTACGTTATGGGTCCTTGATATTTGGTCGATAAGGTGGGGGGGTCATCCGATTATTCCGTGTCAGGCACTGCAATTCAATTTTGCTCTACTGCAATTGTTAAAGCAACGAATTGCTTCTAAATGAGGCCATCCAAGGTAAAAGAAATGCTAAACCCAAAAGTGTGATCTTGCGGCTGAGAATTTTATCCAAGCAAACAATGAATATTTCTAGTTACAAATATGCAGCGCTGGCAATTGCACTTTACCTGACGCCTCCATTGAGCTGAGGACAGTGCCCTTAATATGCTTAACATAACATCCAGGAAGCTTACCACATTCTTCTTTGTCATTTCCTCTTTCTCTTGCAGTTTGGCTTGTACATTTACATTAACTAACAACTGCCCCTACACAATATGGCCTGGTACACTTGCCGGTGCAGGGACACCACAACTTCCAACAACTGGATTCCAGTTGAACTCTGGTCAAAGTGTCAAAATTCCAACTGTTCCAGGGTGGTCAGGTCGAATATGGGCTAGGACTGGTTGCACATTTGATGCATCGGGTGTTGGCTCATGTCAAACAGGTGACTGTGGGGGTAGAATGGAATGTGACGGTATGGGCGCCTCTCCACCTGCATCGCTCTTTGAGATCACCCTCGGAAAAGGCGATGAAAAAGACTTCTACGATGTCAGCATTGTTGACGGTTACAATCTACCACTTGTTGCTGCACCCAGAGGGATCTATGGTGGATGCAATGCCACGGGCTGTGCTTCAAATATTAACATGGGTAAGATATCAATTTAGCAGTTTAGTAGGAACCTAGATTCAGCAGTAGTTGACAAAGTAACCAAACCTCTTTGACTTAAACAGGTTGCCCAAAGGAACTCCAGGTGGTTGGCGGGGATGATGGAGAAGAAGGGGGCGTGATTGCATGCAAGAGCGCATGTATGGCATTTGGGCTGGATCAATATTGCTGCAGCGGAGAGTTTGCTAACCCATCCACATGCCGGCCATCCTTCTATTCATCCATCTTCAAGCGAGCTTGTCCAAGGGCTTACAGCTATGCATTTGATGATGGGACCAGCACTTTCACATGCAAGGCTTATGATTATGCCATCATTTTTTGCCCCCTTACCAATGGGTAACATCTCGCAAGCATCCCTTTTTCCATCCTCTTACATTGATATGGCCTTTATTTGTACTAAAGAAACATTGATACCACAAAAAAGATGCCAACACTGACATTTATCAGTTGAACATGATTTCCTCTGCCTGTCAATAAGTAATTCAGGATGAAGAGATCAAATGCTGCATCAACAGCTCCACCCATTGGAGAAAGCAGAAATGCTGACACTGAACACACAGTTTCATCCTCAAGGATCCTGCTACCCCTTCCTCTGTCTATCTTTCTCATCATCCCCTCTTTATTTCTCTAGATATACCCCTCTATGACGCTTTATGGCAAAAGAATAGCACAAACATGAAAACATGTAATATTAAATAAAAGAGCAGGAGTGGTAATATTAATTTAGCTCTCAAAAGAAAACCTTGATATATTTAAGTGGTTTTATGATTCATTTTTTGACAGCTATTTAAATTTTCCACCTTTGTAAGCCATGATCTAAAGGTAGTCCAAAAGCATGGCCATGATGTCATCAGGACACACAAAACTAATAAGGAAAAGAAAAAATGGCTGAATGCAACTGTGAACCTAATGAATTAAGCTCCCCTGATTACATATAATCGCAAATATTCAAAAGGTTGACATCATATGATTATTGACCATCCTACTATGATGACAAGTAGTGTAGGCAAGGTCAGAGTTTCAGCATTTGCAGTTTAACGATGAGCCAGAAACATAACACCAAAAAAATGAACTGTGCCAACCAAGGAATTTTGGAACAATCAACATTAAGTACAGTAACAGATGCAGCTTTTCTAAGGGCACTATTGGTTCAAACTCTCTTCCAAAAATTTTTCACTAAATGTAATTCTGTGGTTTCTATTTTATGAAAATTGATGTCGGCCCTTAGAAATTTGATGTTTCAGTTAGCGAACATAAAATTAACACAACTGAAAGATGATCTAAGATTAAAAAAAAAACATAACATGCATTCATCTCTCATTAATTTGTGTTGGTTTTCCTTGGAACTTGAGTTTCTTTTTCACTTTCTTCTGTGCCTTTCCTCAAGCAGTTTTATCATTTCTCCATGGTGCCCCTTGAATATAGACTTCAAAGTTAGCATACATATGCCATGATAGCGATTAAAAAAGATGGTTTTGTGATGTCAAGAAACATAAGCTCCGTGGTACAGAATAAGGTTCTCAAATATACCGAGGTTTTATCTGCTCTTACTCTAGCTTCTCCACCTCATTCTAGTCAGTTTCTGAGCAACAGCTTTAGGCATCTCATCTTCCTAAATCAAATGAGAATCCATCACTGTTCATAGTCAACAGAATGAGTGTTCCGTGAGTATATCTTATTCTTCGCCTCTCCCTGAGACAGATGTTATTCAGTTTAACTTCCAGAGAGGGAAGAGGCTAGATAACTGCAAGACCTCACGGCATTACCTGAATTCAGATATGCTCATCACTAATTTGATTTGGCAACTCAGAGTCTTGAACCAAGTTCTGATGAGAAGACAAACATAGAAATAACCATAGTATAATCATATTAATAGGATTATAACTGATCATATATATCATCCAAGAATTTTAAATTGCAATAGCTGATATAATAACTTATCAGATCACTGTTAATTGTCCTAATAATTCCTGTTCGATTTCAAAGCTGATATTTCAAAGGGTTCTATAGCAAAATCAGCATTTCATTCTGACCTATCTGAGCAAATTTCTGAGTTTTGTACTTGTGTCTAGAGTAACTATACAATATATTCAGATTAAAAAAGGTAGACGAATCGATTTTGAATATAGATTGGAAAGCAAATTGACAAAAATATGAAATACCTGGAGACAAAGAAGCCAATCCGAAGAGTTTTCCCTAGAGCTGCACATTTTTGGGCTTCGCAGAAGATGACATGAGACCCAAAACTTAAAACCCTAACCCTTGAAAAAAAAAAAGACCAAATGGAATGGCAGAGAGCGCCGGTGACAGTTTCAGGTTCAGGAGAGCCTCGCGGGGAAAATGAACTACAAATTATTATTTTATCACACATTAATAAAAAAATTAATGATTCAACCAAAATAAAATTTAAATATCTAACTTAATAGATATTTTTTTAAATTTTATATTGTGCCAGTTATTTGGGTTGTGTTAGATCATGTGAAATTTATATAGTCTGAACACTGTTAACAATGAGTAATTTAAATTGGACTAAAATTTTTTAATGAATGATATATATTTTAACGAAATTAAACAAAAATGTTAAATTTATAATATAAATAAAACAAATTTTAATAAATTATAACAATTTTAAATAAATTTATTTAACAGTTACAAATACTTTTCTTAAAATTATTCACATTATTATTATTATTTTTTTTCTAAATTTATCGCTTCTTAGATTGCATCGTGCTTTTCCTAAGACTCCGTTTGGTTAAAAAGAAAAAAATGATAGAATGTGAAAATAGTAGAAAATACAGGAATGTGAAGGTGAAAGAAAGGAGAATGAAAAAAATATATATTTTCTTGCATTTGTTTGATTATGATGAAAATTTTGTAAGAAAATTTTTAAAAAAATTCATTTTGTAGTTTGAAAGTAAGAAAGTTATAATAATTTTTTTTAAATTGTCAAAATTGACCTTATTTATAATTTCTTAAAATTGGTTTTATCCATATGAAACACTATACTTAACATGTTCATTCTCATATGAAACACATTAATATTGAATACACATACTATTATACTGAATTTCTTAAAAGTGATCTTATACTGGACATACAAAAAGGCATAACTAAAATTTCATCAAACATAAATCATGTCCTATTATACCAACATAACATGCAAAGTTATTAAACTATTCTAAAATCCCAACACCCAAAAAAAAAAAAAACTATGTCCAAGGAATTTATAATCCTTCAAACGAAAATGCATGCACCATCATGACCTCATGACCTTTAATTTATACCACTGGCACCACCTTGTGATAGGTGTAGAATTAAAAACAAATAACACATTTCTTCAGAAAATATCAAAAATGCTCTCGCTTTGACCAGATTTGCATTCAAGTACTCAAAAGCGGTCATTCGACAATCAATATCAAGCGCTTTAACATCCATTACAACTTTGTAAAGGTCCGAATAATTTACACAAGGTTTACTCTTTTCATATGCATCAACTAGTCTTGCCATGTTATTAGCAACTGCATTTATTGATTCAACAACAATCTCTATATTTTTTGGCTTATTTGAATGACGCCTCATAAGTTTTGAAGATCAATGGTTGCGTTTGCCTTGTGTTGGTACCTGACTATTATCATTGTCCTGTTGATGTCCAGATTCATTGCCTTCTATATCACCCAAGTCGTCAACTATCATATTCTCAATGCGATTAAAGATCGGTGTGTACTCATTGTTACTACCATCCATTTGTGAGCAGATGTGCAGAGACACAAGGTCAAGCTGAGAGTGATTAATATGAAAGAGTTGTATATGAAGATGAAAACTTGAAAGAGTTATCGTGCGCTGAAATAGGGGCAGAGTTATACACAATATAACTGCTCCCAAGTTTCACGGGAAACACAATATTTTCGTTCAAATTTTGTGGGAAAACGAATTGCTGCTTTTACGAGAAAATTTGTTTAGCGGGAAAAAAAAATTCCAAGAAATTAGATTTCCTGCTAAACAAACGCACTAAAATATGGTTTTTTTTCTCTTTCTCCAATTTTTCACCACTCTCACGCTAACCACATGCAGCCTAATGTACTTAGAGCAATGTTATTGGGACCTAATTTATTAACCTAATTTGTTATTCTAATTCACCATGACCTTTAGATTGACTATAAAACTCATTAAATATTGAATCAATAATTTTATTGAAGCTATATCATTATATCAACAATTACCACAAATTTTTAATTCTAAATAATATTACTCATATACTTAACCTTCTGTGGTGAACTTAAGGACAGGATTTGAATCCGGGGCCTGAGTTGTCTTTTTGCTAACCCGGGTATTTAAATCCAGCCAGCTTCATCCCAAATTCGGGGTTTTGATTGAAATTTGGGATTAAAAATAGGGAATAGAAGAACAACACATTGTTATCCACCCGGCCCCTAAGTTACTACAAGCTAGAGACAGCCCAGTCTCCCAGAACTTCAACTGGAAGTGGAAGAAAGAAGAGGCGATGGGGGAAGGAAAGCAAGGAGTGATGGTTGAAATGCATAAGGGAGTGATGGGTATTTCTCAGAACCCCATAGGACAATTGCAAGTCAAGTTCAAGGAATTGGAGAATGGGTTCAGGGCATGGTTGGCCAAGCAGTCTATGCCTGTCGAGGCCGCCATCGTCACAGCTACCAGCGCCGCCCAAGGCGCCGCCATCGGTGCCTTCATGGGCACCATCACCAACGACGTCTCGTCCTCTATCCCCACTCCGCCGCCTGGTGCCGCTAACTTCAATCCCCAAGCTATGGCCTCCCTCCAACAAGCCCAGGTCTAATTCTTTCTTAACCCTTCATATGTATGTGCTTGAATGATAAGGTGCTCATAGATGTTAGAACAGCTAGTGTCTTATCATTAAGGTTGGATTTTTTGTCACATCCTGTGACGTTTTGGAAATACGTATCTGTCTGTTACCAATTGTTTTGATTTAGACTAGAATTTCGATTGTCTCTTTTGTTTTGGAAAATTGTGGATCTGGGGAGTTAAATTTTCAATACTCTAGATATGATGAGGTAGAAAGCGGCTAACTTGCGGTGTTGGAAATAAGGCCTCTAATGTCAAAGCCCCCAAAAAATATGCAAAAGCTTGAATTGCCTGTTCATGGACGTATCCAATTGGTTCATTAAAAACATGGTGTATTCTGCTTACAGGCTCTTTCAGGAGGTCCCATGGTGCAAGCCCGCAATTTTGCCGTGATGACAGGAGTTAATGCTGGCATATCTTGTGTCATGAAAAGATTAAGAGGCAAGGAGGACGTCCAGTCCAGGCAAGCTCTTCTGGAATCTTTCCTAGCTCTCCCTATCTCTCTACCTATGCTCACCTTTTTTTTTTAAATTATGTTATAGTGTGACAGTCCTATTGGTTTCTATTTTGGAACAAACAGTCCTACTGTGCTATGTTGCATCGGGGTCAGAAATTTTGGGTTTTTTTTTCTTTTTGTGATTATCAGTGTAAAGACTTTCATTGGAAAAAACCCTAACTTGCCTGAACAGTTCATGTTCAGATCAAGCAATTCCATGCTTCCCAAGGATTAATCTATTCTCTCTCTCTTCAATTTGAAAGGGAGTTATACCTACCTTGTCAATTTTGTTATTTGCTATGTAATCAAAGCATTTAGCTGGCCTTGGAAAGGAAACCAAGGGGTGGTCAGTTGTTTTGATTATACACTAATGTGTTCGTAGACTGATAGATATGTCTAGTGTTTCATGCTGAGAGAATGCTTGTATTGAAATATAAGTTATCCTAAAAGAAAGTCTTCTGAAATATGGTAGCTATTGTAGTTAGGATATATGTTTTTTACAGCAGATACATCTGTAGCCATTTGTCAATGTTATCAGCATTCCTTGTAATTGATTCAAAAGATCAATAGCTTAATTGAGTTCTACTGTTTAGTTTATTCAATTACATATTTTCTTTGACCTGAATTTTTTTTTTTTTTT